TCAAACATGAAGGAAGGGACCTTCCTGACCACAAATTGATATCCTTAAAGCAGTATTACTGGCAAAATTTAGGAAGTTCAGCTGTCAGGAGCAGATTTTAGCTCATTTTCCACAATACACCATGATTTAATATTTGTGTCTTAGAGTAAATCACAGTGTTGTCTCCTGCCTCTGATACCTAGCTTGCTTATTTGATGGTACAATGTAATTGAATTTCTTCCTAAGAAAGCTTCTGGAGCAATGACTATTTTGAGAAATAACATTTCCCAAGGAATGTACATTGACTGTGATGAATTCCTATAGATGTAGAGGCTAATTAACAAGAACCTAACTAATAACTTGGTTGGATTTAATCCATATACTGAACTGGCAATATGCACCAGAGAAAGAGGCAGAGGGTGAAAGCATATATTTGGGGAAGAAATCACACATGACAGGCACTTTCCAAGTGGTTCACAGATATTTTAGGTGTTGCCCAGCCCCTCTTAACCCTTGGTCTCATCTACTTTGCATCACCCTTCCAGGACTGTTTCTGCTCCCCCCCAGCTATGTCTTTCCTGCGTACACAGTGCAAATTACCCTGACTTAAAGATGAAAGTGCCTAACAGTCACATATGCACAATATTCTTCTAAATAAAAGCAAGGTTCTGCAAATTTTGCCTTTCACTGCTCGTGGATGTCCCTGTGAATCAAACACATGCAGCAGCACATGAAAGGGAAGGAAGTTTTCTTAGTAACACCATTTTTATTGCCAAGTTCCATTTACAAAGAAAGGTCTATTCCTTGTTCTTGTCCAGGTTTTCAATAGCCACAACAAATTCTCAATGCCAGCAAATACAGACTGAGAAGTCTGGGTTTCAGAAACATATACCAATCTCTTCTAATTCCACTCCCTTCCCAGATGCTTAGTTACATTGTTCTTTAAATTAACATAAGAGATCACATTTATTCCAAATGTCTAACATAACTTACATTAAATAATTAATACTTATTGCCTGTAGAAAGACATTTCAGAATTTAATTCACACCATGTTTGGGCTTTTTTCCATGTAAATGTAAGTGCATGTTCAGGACTTTTTTTCTCAAATGAACTACATTTCAGACAACTTTACTGAAATATATTTCATAGGAAGACAGTCCATGTTCATTAAATGCTTTTTTGTAGTGCTTAAATCCCAGATACATTCATTCTTCTAGAAAAATACATTTCCACCTCTTTGCACTGAAAACAATCAAACTTACAAAGCAGCTAAAAATGAAGGAAAAAGTTTGCAACAAAAATATCAACACAGCTATTTACAAGTGGAGATGCCTAAAATTATCTTCTAAAGTTTGTAATGCTTCCAGAGGGTTTCCTGAAGTTGTGACAATGTATAGTTAGTGCTGTCTCTGGGCAAAACAAAGCTCCTAGACATTGTAATAGTCTATAAATTTGCACACTTGAATCTATTCTCAATCTTTAAAAAAATTATCTTCATGTTCATTGTAAATACTTCTGCCACAGTTAGTCCTTAAATACAGCCAAACACTAACCCTCAGATCTTCTCATACATGCTATCAGATTGCAATTACTATGTGTCTTAAACTCACTTGAGTATGAGTATCCATAACCAACAGTAATGGGAAACAAGATAAAAATCTCATTAATCATTATGATCTTAAAAGAATCCTGTGAACTAGTCTGGACCTTAACTTTTGTTATCAAGTATTCTTAATTATTTCCTGCTTAAGCCATTTTTATTTACTTTTAAAATAAATGCACTCCACACGTTTAATTATGCTAACATGACAGCCCCAACAATTACAAGTTTTTCCTTTTCATATTAAGAACCGATCAATTCAAGTTAACAAAACAATAAACCAGATACCACCACAGTGCACATTTATTAGACAGCCAAAATTTAGCTTTACATTTATAATACATTAACAAACACAAAATATATATTTTATAATACCTTGCAAAAGAAATTAAATCTGAGCAACGTGCAAATCTAAAAATGCTGGGAGATCAAAATAGGGAAAATTCTGTACAAATGCAATATAAAAATATGTTTCCATATGAAAGAACCCTCTGTTTGAGACTCAGTCACGAACTGCATCTCGTATGTCTTTGTTGCTGCTCAAGTACTGAGCAGCAGAAAAACCCCCAAGAACTACTCCCCTCCCAACCCTTAAAAACATCCCACCCCAGTAAGCCCTGCTTGGATCACCCTCTGCTTTTCAGAATCCAATAGGAGATGGGAAGAGTTATTCTATTTGTTTCTAATTCATGCTGCAAATGTTGGGAAAGGTCAAGAGAAACACAGCAGGCAAGCACAGGAGAACTTCTCCAAAGATTGCTAGATAATAGAAGAGCAGTGCCCAGGTGAGTGATATCCCAAGGTAGGGCAGTGGTAGTGAGTCAGGGACACACCAAAAAACTCTTTCAAGAAGGATAGCAGCAGTTAAGAAGAGAATTTTCAACATATATTTGATGGCTACATTAGGCTGTCTGAAAGAAGAAGACTAATTACCTTGGAAGCAAAAGGCCTCAATCTCCCTGCCCCCAGCTGATGTCTCTGCAGATCTCTGATTCAACTAGAGGATAAACCATTTATTTTCCCAGTCAGCAGCTGCCTGCCTGGACAATGCTCTTTTGAAAGCAGGTTTAACTTCAGCTGGTTAGTGGAGACAAGAGCAGAATGTTTAGCTTGGTGGAGGTTTTGTGACTGCTACTCCCAGGTGGTCAGTGCCACTGCTCCTGAGGCTACTCTAGGTCTCCCTGTCCCCTGCAGGGGAGTGACTGATTACCCCAGAGTGACAGCACCACAGCAGTGACATGTTTACTCTTAGGAAGTGGCTTCATCCTTACACACTCAGTTTGACCTGCTTGTCTGATAGCTTACCTACGTCTTCAAGCATAAAGTTTATTTTACTACTAGTGAAATGACACAGTTCCAGGGCAATTACTGAATTCCTGGATTGCTTGAAGTAATCACAAATTAACAGCCAACCTATTATTCTATTTTCCTAATAACAGTATCTAAGTCATTTCCTGTGAAGCTCTCACTAAATAAGTGATCAAGAGATTTAAAAGCCACTCAAAGGTAATGAAAAGCACAAAGTCACCTTCCTTTCCCTTGCCCCATTTCTTGTGCAGTAAAGCTCAGGGGTGAGATTATTCATATGCCTATGCATTGAAGAGACTCCTTGTGCACGGGTCTAATCTTGCTAGAACTGAATTTGAAACAAGATAAATTAAAATCATGGTTTACCAGTCTAAAATGAATTCTATTTAAGGGAACTCAGCATGCACAGTGGTATTTTGTGTAATCCAGGTCAAGAATTTAAGGTTAATAACTAACATAAAATGCTTTCTAATTAAGTGAGGCATTTTTTATAATGGTCTTCAGAATATTACTGAGACTACAGTGTAATGCTGCACCATTTTAGAGGAAGTCTAGACTGCCATCACTTCAGCTAATAAAAATTCATGTGGTTCTTGTGCCCAGATTGCTACTGATGTGTCCAGGCTTGTTCAGGTACATGCATATTAGCTGCAACAGTGACTGCATGACTGCAAATTCATCTTCAGCATAAGACCAAAAAACCCAAAAAGTAGGCTCTTATTCCAGTAATGCCAGATTTTCACACAAAATCCACTGCAGTGCTGAGGACACCCAACTCTGAGTTCATTTAGAGTTTGGGCCACTCTGGAATGGTCAGTGTATCAGTTAATTCAATTTGAGATAAAGTAGAAATCACAGAAAATTAGAAATCAAAACTGCATGGAAAAGTTAACAGGAGGAAAAAATTACTGACATTCAGTAGCAGACATCTCATATATCCAGTTGGCAAATATTCAATTATTATGTGAAGGAGAAGACAGAAGAAGTGAGAAAAGTGGTACCTGTGAATTAGTCAATCTTATATATATATACATATATATACACACACACATATATATACACGTGTGTGTATATATATATACACACACACACACACAGGTATCACTGAAAAATCACTTCAAGTATTCCCTATGACAGCCAGGAAGAGGTACAATAAGCAACTGGGAAGTGGGTAAAAACTTTGCAGATTCACCCATTTAGTAAGAACTCAATGCCAGTAGAGACAGAATGAGGACACAGATTGCAGTGTGACTGAAATCAATACCAAGTAAACAGCAGTCCTCCTTTGAGGAATTGCCAACTCTGTGTTAAGAATAGACCAGCAATGACAAGCTACTCATTTCACTATTAATTTAAATTAACTTACTTGGAAATTGATGAAAAATCTTAAATTCCTTTCATGTTAAATTATGTATCAAATCAGCAAAGAACATTCCAAACTTTAAGAAACATCTTTCCCTTTTCTGTCAACTTGGTGTCAGGATCTAGGAAGTAATGTTAACACTTTTATGTAGCAATGTTGTTTAACTGGGATACTATCCCAGACAGGAAAAAAAAAAAAACAAAAAAACACAATACCTTTCAAGATCAGACTTGCAAAGGAATTATCAGTAAGATATGGTGACTTTCTTCCTACATGACTATGAAAAATTTGAAAACCTCTTTAAAGTAAAACTGCTTCTGTCTGCTTCTTGAAGTTGTCTTTCAGTTGCAGAGATATCACCATTCCTCAGATGTGTAGCAATTTGACTGTCAGAAGTGAACAAACAAGCTATAGCAATCTTATAAAATATTTTACATTCCTCTCTAGGTGGCTAAGCAAAGACTACAGTGGTCTCAAAAATCCCTTATGTTAATTTGAACAAACATTGTGTTTCAACTTTGAATCAAACCTTGAAATAAATATTACATACGGAAAACAAAATATTTAAGTCTGGAGTCCTACAAAGACAATACTGAATGTGGCCAAGCCTGCTGGTATTGTGCAGACCTCCAAAAGATGAACAAGATCAGGATAAAAAAAAAAAAAAAAAAAACAACCAAAAAAACCACGAAGAAAACAAAACCAAACCAAAACAACCAATCAAAAAAAAAAATAAAATAAAAAAAAAAAATTCCCAAACCAAATAAAACCCCAAAAGCCCTCTTCCACAAATAAAACCCCAAACCAAACACCAAACCGAAAAAACACACCCTGACTCAAATGGAAGTTTTACCTCTGTCCTAAATATACAATATTTTTCTGGTCAATGGCATGTCTCCTGTTTCAGAGACGAAATAATGCAGTACCATGAAGCTGGGTACCCAAAAGTCTCTTCACTTTGCCATAATACTGCAGACCTTTTACAATTAATTAGTTCCTATTAGAAAGACAGTAGGTCCTCTAAAATATGTCCACGTTCTTGTATAAGAGAAACTGGTAGGAAAGAACCAATCCAGATTCAAAAGTTTGGGTTTTTCTCTCTTCTCCAGTTCAGATATGCCGAGTATCCAATGTTGGCTCTAAAAACTGCTGACTTTCTCTGCCACCACTTGGTCCCTTCATGTGGACCTGAGGCCTCTCAGGCCTCCAGAAGTATCTGCACTCCCAGAGGAAAAAAAAAAACCACAATTTGGTTGCATTTCCTTTGCTGTTTATTACAGTCTGCACGGTGGCTTTAGTCAGAACATTCTTCCTCTACCTCTTTCACCTTGTCAACCTCAATTTCAGACTGCAGAGAGGCCTGAGGGATGCAGCTGAATGTTCGAATGCTGTGTGGATCAACTGGTGGCACCAGTGTGAGCGACTCCACGCTCAGCGTGTCCGTGTTATCATCTGTGAGTAAGGATATCGTGGGCTGCTGTGCAGGAATCAGGCTGGGAGACAGGTTGGCTGTTTCTATGTCACTGGCTTTTACAGCATTTCTGCTGGACTTTGAAACAGCTGAAAGAGTTTCATCAGTCAACATCGTCTGACTGGAACTGGCTGTCAGAGGCTGCTCTGGAGCTGAAGCATCATCTGAGAAAAGAGAACAACCAAGAACAATCAATATTCAAGTCAGTATGCACATTAAGCCTAACAATACACCATTATTCATCAGTGTTCAAGAATAATTGGGTAGAAAACGCAGTTCTGTGAAGCACTATGCTTACACATCCACATTTTAGTAATTAGAAATAAACCAACATATTATAAAGGCATAACCTAAAATGCCAGCAGGATTATGTTCAAATTAGGAAAAAGGTAATTATGTACATTTAGTATTAGAGTATGTATCAATATTAGAAATATTCTTTGAGAGAGGAAGTTGAGGGAAAGAAAACCTCTCCAGTATTTAGTATGAACTAAAATGAACCCACTACCCCTTATCAGGAAGATCTTTAGAAATAAAAGAAAAAACTGAAGAACCACTCTACAGCCAGCTTTCCCAAAAGGTGGCCTGTTTCTTACAAAAATTTGGAAGTCATTCTCTCAATTCATCCTCCAGATTCACATTTAAGCAACACCTCAACCACAGAAAGCAGAATTATGGCAGAAGAGGAAGGAGGATCATTTCCTTACTGCAACTGAAAGGTGCTGCAAGAGGCCTGCTTTACACAGCCTTGTGAGACATGGGCATTTTGTCCTCCTAAGCATGGAGCATCCAACACTCAAAATTGAGAATAAGCATATATGCTACTGAAAACTGATATGCTGCTGCACCTCCTACTTTATGAAAAAACCCTCCAACATTAATAGCTATTTGTGCTGTCCTTTTCCCCTAAAAATCCTAGTGAGCTGTCAAGCAAGCTGTTCATTTGGCTCAGGATGGAGAGGGGATGGACAGGATGAAGTGAATCAGCCTTAAATGATCAAGTATGCCCAGAAAAGTCACATTTTTTTCTTTTCAGACTGCAATAATAGATGCTATTAAAGTAACAGGTATCCAGCTTCAAGACAGACCAGTTTTAAAGCTTTTGTAAGAAACAGCATGTGTTCAAGTGTACAGGAATCTGCAGAAAAGCTTACAAGGCAATGTAGTGAATAAAGAAGCTAAGAATTAAGTTATGGTTCTAATACACAGTGACCTTAAAAATATTTCCGTTTCAACATGATTCCAATTAGTCCTGGAAAAGAACAGAAAGCATGAACATAAGACAAAGGGAAAAAAAAAAAAGAAAAAAAAAGGAAAAGCAAAGTAGAGAATGGAATGGGTATCAGTAAGGTAACAGTGGATAACACTAAAATTACTAACATTTTTTACCTTTCTGGTAAGATAACTCAAACAGTGGTGTATTCTCACTCCAGAAACCACTCACATGCACTTTTTGCTGAATTGGTGACTAAAGCTTCTTGCTTTGATAAAAACAAGATTTATAGATGGTAAAAAAAGTCTACTTTTAAATAAAAGAGACATCAGTGGTTATTTTTTAACTATAAGGACAGATTCAAAGTAACCCTACAAATTCTTCATCTGTCAAGAAGCTTTAGTGAGGATGTAGCAACTGATAACAGAGGAAGTGATGCAAGAATCACATGGAAAATGAACTGCCAAAACAAGAAATACAGGCTCATTTCTCTGAATTCCAAGCTAAACACTAACATTTCAGTATGCACAGAACAGCGAGTTTCTGCTTTTTGAATCTATACAATCTTAAAATTACATCAAATGTTCTTTGCCAAAATAACTTTTAAATCTTCCTTATAGTATAGCATGAGTAGTCACCCAAATTCAGGATTCAGAAACCTGAGGCATTGTGGTAAGTAAAGTATTATCAATCAATGGCATTCTGCTCAGAATGTTGTATACAGCACATTTCTATTTAACTTCTGAATCTGCACTTCATTTCTTAAATCATTCCTTCCCTTCTCCCAATAGAATATCAATGTCTTTTCTTAATATTTGCATTTACTGAAACAATGAAAGACATTATATTATTTTGTTATGCTGGATGTTTTGGTCCCCATATCCTTCCAGGTAGGTTCTAATTAATGCTCAAGTGACTCCCTTCTTAATGCCACAGACAAAAAGTATTTGGAAAAAGTCTTCTAGACTAAATGCATCTAGAGTTAACAAGTCCAAACTTTCTACACAAAAGTCTCAAAAAATGTTAAGAAGAAAGATAAAAATATCAAAAACTGTAAGCAGAATATGCTCCCCAGTGTTTCAGTGGCAGCATTTGTAGAGAATACAAGATCAGAGCTCTCCTCTGCTTCCCTCCAGCTGTTATTTACCATTGCTGGAAGCCAGTTTCTCTCCTCTCAGGATGTCTTTAGTCACTGCCAGCCTTGCTTCCATCAATATAGCATTGAATTCAGGGAACAGTGGCCAATTGCTGTAACCCATGGTGGCAGTACTGCCAAAATGACCAGAAAGCAAATCCCAGCACAAGGAAGGGTGGAGGAGGGAGAGTTCTGAATATTGTCTAGAGCTCACAAGAATGTCTGTCTTTAAGCAGGTACCAAGACAGGTACCAGGCTCTTGCTTCTAAACAGTTTCACATACCCAGCATGTTTACAGATTAATTTCTCTATTTATTATCTGGAACTTCCCTTTATACTATATATAAAAATACTAACTGGCTTTCAAAGAACCCAAACTCCCAATACCTGGTTGCAGTTTGACTTTGGGATAGAAAGAAAATTTGTAATTTTTCCCTGGATAAAACCACTCCACCAGTCCACTGAGCCTGGTGCGCTGCTCTTACATATCAAAAGGTTATTGCCTAATACTAGAAAACAGCATTTCTATTTATCTCTCCCCAGCCTCGATGCATTTGGGCAAGAGTGTTCTGGCACAAAATATAAGCCAGATCTGCAACAAAACCAGGGAGAGTGAAGTCAGTTTCTTAAAATGGTTTGGATCTTAATACTGAGCTCTAACAAACAGCCTTCCATACCTCCAAACTTATTGTACTTATTGAAAACAAGGTGTAATTTTGCAAGTTTTGGGGTATTATTAGCTCTCTTTGGATGCAGAGCCTTCAACAGCCTTACATGTTTTTCAGCACTTCTTTAATGCTACAAAGATTATTGTTATAGCAAAAAAACTAAAACACTCAACTTGTTATATTAACTTATGTTAACAAGGGTTATTGTGAAAGAAGTTAGAAAAGAACAGAAAAAGGAAAGAATGAGTATCATCCACAGAGAAGTGTCCTAAGCTGTACAGCAACATACTATGAAAGGATAACAAAAATACAAATTACAAGACATTAGGCAAAAAGTTGCAAATAAATCTATAAAGATGAAAAAGGGTGTTTATAAAATATTAGCAGAGTAAAGTATCTTTATGCCATGACAGTAACAAAAGAAAATAAAATGAGATACAAGTTCAAACAGATTATATAACAAAGGTCATCTGGAGTGTATTTCCATATTTTTTGCATCTGCTCCTTCTCCTCACCTCCTCAGGTAAGGATAATCAAACAGTCCATAAAGTCATCTGCCAGAATCTGATGACCACAGAAATGTTACGCTTGTGCCAACAGAGTCGGGACAGTCTTATGCTGAATGCCTGTCCATTTGACCTGTGCTATAAAGAGATTTCTTCCTGCTGGCCAAGGACCTGCATTGCTGTCCATTCAGGAGCCTGTGCTTACCAAATTTCACTACAGCCAGGGCTGCCCTGTGCAAATGAAGACATGTCTGCTTTGAAGCTGGAGGCTTGATAGCACAATTTCCACCTTTGGTACAAGTGCCCAGAGACATGGGAGAAGCTGCAGACAAGGCCTTCAGAAACAGCTCATCATTGCTTCACAGTTCTCCCAAAACAAAACGTAGAAACAAATATGACGCTTTCTTCAGTTTCCTACCTCACTGTCATTGCTGTCAGCATGGAAAGCAAATATGTTCTATTGATTGTTATGGGCTTGTGAAGGCTTATGGAGGAACCTGCCTGAGTGGGTATTGCGGGAGTTTCTGCTGCAGCTGCTGCTGGAAGGCCTAAACCCAGTGTCCACCGTGACTGTCAGCCTCCGACAGACTAAACACCCGCCGGCGTCCTTTCCTGCCAGACCTTACTAGAGGGAAACACAGCCAGAAATCATACAGAGGCTTCAACAATGACACAGGGGAGGGAAACTGGAATGGAGACAAAGGATAAATGTTAGAGCAGCAACAAGAGTAAGTGACAAGGACACACCCATAACTGCTGGTATCTTGAATACAATTTGACATCACACCAAGAGCCTTCTACGTTTGGGAAATAATTCTGAAGCTGGAAGTAGTCATTCTTTAGAAATAAATGAGTTTATATGAATTTAATGTTTTGCTTCCTATCTGAAAATGTTCGTAAGTTTGGGCTATGTCTGGCAATACCAACAGAACTCACATCAAGGAGGGCTGGCAGGTATTTTTTTGCATTACAATCTACTCACCTGCTTTAGAAAGTTCAAGAGAAGTTATTTACCACAAATTCTGGTGACACAGAATTATTCTCCTTTCCCCTGGCCATGAATTATATGTGGTGCAGTACTGTGCAGGTGACAACACTTCAGACCACTCAGCCCTGCTATTCTGAAACCCAACAGTAGCATTTACATCTGGTTTATGATAAAGCCAAACACAGGGCTTGAAAAGATAACAGCAGTTCAGATGATAATGCTTGGTGCATAGAAAGTTCCTAGAAAAGAAACTTTCTAAGAACAAAAGTACTTCCTCACCTAGTCAGAAAATTACTAGAGCTTCACAGAACAGGAGGTCAAACCACATTTACATTACTGATTATAGAGGGAAGAGACAGAGATGGTTTCAATAGGAAGGCAGGCACTGTTCTTATAAGCTCTCCAAGCTTGATTAATCACCCTCTCCTTGGAATGGAAATTTAATTTTACAGACTGGAATCCAATATGTTCTCTGCAACAAGGGACAGCTCTTATTACTTATTTTAGATCTTTTATCATCAATACCTGCCAGAAGCACAAAATACAGCTTAAGTGGCACAGATCAGTGTCTTGTGAAGTCCTCATTATCTATTGCTCTGATGTAAACATTTTAAGTACTGAAGCCAACTGCTTTTTAAAAGTTAAGACAGCTTAAACAGTAATAAAATACAGCACAGATGACATTAATACATTCATAATTCTGGAAGACTGCTAACTTACAGTAAGAGAGCTTCTATATCTAATCCTTGGCATATATGAAAATAAGCACTTTAAAGAAGTGTATAGTTCCAGCAGGGGTAGCCAAGACATGACTGTATTCTAAGCTCTGAAACTTGATGACTAAAATCTGGCTAACAAGAACATTTCTAGCTTATGCATAGCAACATTTCAAAAGCACATGATAATTTAAAAAAAAAAAGTAAATATGAAGAAGAAACCAACCTGATAGCAGCACTTGCAGAACCCGATACTGATTTTTCTGTCTTGCTAAGCATTCTGCTTTCTTTAAGGGATGATTTCTGCTTTTTCAATTTTAAAGAACAATAATCTTGTAAAGGGCTAAGCTTAATCCCCAAACACTGCAAATGGGGGAGTTTCCAGCCTTCAAAATATCTGTGCCATATGTGACAACTACTAGGTAGGATAGCCAATGAACTTGGGAATTATATGAGTTTATTTCACTCATGACAAAGCAACTGATGCAACACTGTGGGACTGTTTGATGCAGGTGAGTGATAAGCAAATTATTTTTACAAAACATTGAACTAACACAACTTTTCCCTGAGACACATTGTTAAAAGCTCTTTTGCTGTTTAATCACCCTCTATGTTGTAACATTTTCTCTCAATTAACATGCAATTTATCTTTATTTTGTTCTCATCTATCACTGTTTTCTGTAAAAATTGGTGTCTATGTTCCAAATCTTATTTCCTGAAACAACTCTGTGAACATTTACAAGTATCATCTCTAATATATCAAACCCTGATGAGTTTAAAACTGTCAACAGACTGTAGCTTAGGACACTATAATCACAAGTTCACAGTATAAAAAGCTGTGTGGTTTAAGATATTGCTCTCAAGGAAGGTAGTTGAGGTAGTTTCATTGAAGTCCAGATAGGCATCTCCCCTTTATCTAGTCTGGCCTTCTTGTCTGAAGTTCCTGAGCAACCCAGGATGCTTTTCATGCTCAACAGCTTCAGCAGGTGCCAGAACAAACAGGGGAGCAGGGAAGGAGGGGCAGAGAGGGGCACACACGTGTGTGTGTGTGTGTGTGTTCAAAATGGAATGGGAAATGAGACAGAGTCAAATGTGACAGATGGCAGCAGCATTCAGGTGCTACCTTGGGACATAAAACAGATTTTGGTAACTGCTTGCTGCTCATCAGAGACTGGTTACTTCCTACTCAAAGAGGAGCCACTTCACATCATGGAAGTCACTGCTGAGAAGCAGAAGAGGAAAGGCATTTTAGTTTCAAGTGGTCCTCAAGTGGTTAAGCTAAGGGAAAACCACTGCTTTACACAGAAGTGGGCGAATACCAACAATTGTTTCCATATCCCAGCTGAGTGGTCAGTATGACCTGATATAACACAGACTGTGCTCATGGCACTGTCACCTACTTCAGCAGAGTTCTGTTCATGCACAAGCCCACAGAACAGCCACCTGCACATGCCAAACAGACCCCCACTTTCATGCTACGTCCCTGGCAAGTTTCCACTACAGATCACAATTACATGTAAGTACTACAAAAGGAAGAATACTCAAACTTGCAGTAAACTGGTCAATCAGTTAATGCAGAGACACTGATCCCAAAAATGACACTATTGAACGGACACTGAGTATTGGCAAAAAGTGTCAAAAGAGCTCTGGGCGTTGGGGAAAACTCTTCCTACATTCACATCTCCCAAAAGACCTAGCTCCAGGGATTTCAGAATTCTCACTAGTCTGTAATAAGGACCTTGAGACACCCTCAGACACTCAGCCACAGGTTTTAAACCACTACTTGTGTTCATTACTGCCTGCAACTACACTAGCAGTTGGGTACAAACCAGGGCAGAAGCATTGAAGAATTATGCACACTTATTTCTTTGGTCTGATTTTAGGAAGTTTCTGTGCATTAATGAGATTCTTTAAGAAAGAAATGAAACTACAAGAGATGCTGCAACTATGTACCAAACACACTTTCAACACTAATAGCAACATACTAGTCTGACCTGACCACTGGTCCTTTGAACGGCCACATACATGGCAGGGATTCTAGGTCCTAAAGGTCAGAGCAAATACGGTCCAGCAAAATCCCTAAACCACATGCATGCCTCAGTACCAACTGTGCACTATCCTACTGCAATAAAATACCTGCTCATGCACATAAAGTCACTGTCTTCCTCTCTGTAACTGCCCTCTGAGGAGAATAAAAGTCATCCCTGCAGCAGGGTAGTGCAAGTTGCTGACTTGGGACTGAAGCAGCTGATGCACATTGTCAGGCTCATTTCCTCTGACTTGGCTGAAGGTGACTGGGCCCAGTGGTAGGACTCAGAACTGGATCCTCACAGCTACATTTGCTACAGCATCACATTAAAAAAAAAAATCAAAGCACACCCAAAGACAGTCTTCCTGGATGACACATGACATTTTTCACACACTTTATGATTAAGTCACAATGAAGGTCAAGGTGGGCAGTTCATGCAACCTAACTGGTAAAGTGCATACTGAAATCAGGCACTCCAAAATACTTTTCCTCTGGTTTTGGTTTTTCCATTATTTTAATCTTCATTTTTTGGGGGGTGAGGAGGGTAGGGAAGAGTTTACGGTTTATTGTTGTTGTTTTTCTTTTTTTTTTTTTTTTTTTGGAAATCAATGAGCAGCCTCCTGTCACCAAGCTTTTTAAAATGCAGAAAAAACAGAATTTTTTGTTACATAAATGCCAACACACTGTGTAAGTAGATTGCAATTTTGTGAACTACAGTCTGTGATGATACTTCAATAATTCACTATCTTTTTATACTTGATGAGTAATTACATGTTCTGGATCTATGCATTTTTTCATAGAAGCCAGATTATGTGTGCTTGAAAGACCTCAGTCTGAAACAAAGCATAGTCTTGCTTGATATTTTTGTGAACTAGCTTGAATTGCTTATATCTACAGAAATATAGATCCTTTATTTTCATTTTCTTTACCAGAGTTTTCTCTCAGCCACTCTTGGTAAGAATCTGTAGCTGCATTTCTCTTCTTGACCATAGAGGATTCAAATACAGCAAAGGACACTGTACATGAGCCTTTTTATACTGCTAAAGAGAAATATGTCATCAAATTCATGTTTTCTTGTAGTGCCAATCCAGCCTGAGTGTTCTGGCAAATGACAGCACTTCTCTGTGCAATGACTACCTATTATCTGGGCCAGGAGGCGACTGGATAACAGCAATCACTTGCCAGTAGAGAAAATAAAATTTTGAATAGATGGTATATCAAAAAACACTCCAAATTTTATTCTGAAATTTCACATATTGCAGGACTATTTTGACTATATGTTAGTCTCTCAAGGTAATAGATGCTTTTTAATCTAGAGTCTGGGTGCTAGAATATTTGCTGTTCCTTAACTTCATCAACATCCTTTCATTACCTTTCCAGCAGTATTTCTTGCAGGGAGACTCACTTCAAACATATAATGCACATTGATCTGCTGACTCTGTTCAGTGAAACCTAAAAACACTTAATACCTAACGAAGTTGAGTAATTTCCTGTAGGACTGCAAAAAATTTTAGCTATAGATGGGCCTTCCAAATAAAGGCAAAATGGCATTTCTTAGAAGGGGTAGCCAGAACAACCCTCTTAAGGAATGATCAACATTGGAAGTGACCATTAAAATGAGGGCTTGCTTGAAAAGGAGTTGAGAATCAAGTTACCTCTATTGTTTCATAACCCAAATGAGGTAGAGTAAGTTACTTCCAGCACGAAAGCATTTCAGGATGCACTCTTTGGGACTTCCTTGTCTAGTCTCCAGCCTGAAGCTTTGCCTCACATAATTTGCACACAGAATAGACACCATAACAAGTTCTCTACAAATACTACATAAAAAGGAGGAATAATGCAACAAGAAGTTCCAGTTTAAGCATACCCACTAAAAATACTGACCAATGCAAACACATGCAACCTACATTTGTGAAAGTTACACTGTCAGTCTATTTATACTGCAGCCTCTTCTGCAACAATGAAACCACCTCCTGAAATGTGGTGGTGTTCAGCCACAAAAGTGTTATTGCAAAAACTTTAAATATTAACATCCAAAACAATTATTTCCAAACATTTCATATTTGGCCCATCGTTACAAACTAACCTGAGGATCAGATAAACACACAAAAGAAAATGTCACTCAGTTTAAAAAAAGATGCTTCATGTGGAAATCAACTTATCCACTATGGTGGAAGGCTACAAGTTTACATTACAGATTTATTCAAAGCAATACTTCAGTTAAAACAAACCACCGACAAAGAAAACCCCTCAACATTCTAAACTGTTTGTGCTAGGAGAGCAGTCAGACAAGCAGGACATTATTGCACCAGTACTTGAAGTCTCTACTGAAAAAGCCAAGTATTTGGAGTTCCAGAAAGCTGAAGAGATCACTGCAATTCATACCACAATTTACTTTTAATTGGCTTAGTCAATTAAGTGATCTAAAACCATAAAGCCCTACTCTTTTAATCCAATAACACAGTAACTTAATTTTACAATAAACTGCTCTGTATCCCTTAGTGCCTAGGCTGAAGGTGGTGAGTGAATACCTGCTGGGCTCTGAGCAGCAGAAGGAGTGGATGTCGAGCTTGCAGTCACTGAATCACAGCGCCCTGTACTGCCACTGCCACTGGAAGGGGATGGTGACGAGAGTGGGGATGGATTGTGCTGATTTATGCACTGGGCTACAGCAAAGCCTGCAAAACAGGACAGTGAAGTTTACAAGTTAATTATCTTGAAAGAGTTAAGCTGTTGAACAAATTGGGAAAGGGTAAAAGCAAATCCTGTATCAAGGTGAAGCCAACCTCATGTAGTGACCCAGAGGACGTGCCCTCTCCCACCTTCATCGTGGAAACCAAAGAGTCTGAATGTACCTTTACTGAAAACAGGCTACAACTGCTGATCAGCAAATGAGGAAAGAGAGTTTAAGGGATTCAAAGCATTTTAAAACTTAGAGATTGCACAAACAGTCAAAACACATCAAAACTCTTGATATAGTCAATATATTCACAGGTCACAGACCTTAACATGATAAGGAAAATAATTAAGTCAAAAGTGAACAAAAAAACCTCTTGGATAGAAGACCTACATTTTTTTACTAGACATAACTTCAGAAAATTTTAATCAATCACGTCGAATGCTGGAATTGAATTTCATCTAGCCTCTCACAAACTAAATTTTTTCCAGTTTGAAGACTGGAAAGGTCTATACAGTGTCTGACAACACTTAGATGAGTCATCTTCTGGCTTCTAGTGCAATACTTCCTCAATCTCTTTGCAGTGTAGCATCTTTTTCTTTCCTAACCACCTTGCATTCATTCCTTTCTCCTTCTGTAAGTACACACCTATAGTCACTTCTTCATGTTTTGATAGCAAGCAGCTTTTCAGAAGTTGATGCACTTCTTACAGCAAAAATAGTGTCTTCACCATGGGCTGTAGGTCAGGTGAGGTACACCCCTTTTCTGCTTCTGCAGCTCTCCTCCTTCCCTCCCATGGGAAAGTACTAATGCAGAAGTTTTTTTGGCAGTCCTGTGAATTACTGAAAGTAGCCACAATGTGGACTATAAAACCCCTGACAATACTCTAGTTGCTACCTTCACTGAACAGTCAACACTGAAAGGGAAAGTATCTGACAACCAAGTAAGATTGAAAACGCACCACACAGTTCTTTATTCTTTTACATAGGGAATCTCCCATGGCACTGGATGGATGATTCACTCAGACAGACAATCTCCTATATGGGGAGGGTGCTGGTGCCATACAGGACGCAGCCACCCAAAACTCAGTTTAAATGGACATGTTACAAGAAGCTCTGAAAGCTTTGAAACAAAGATATGCCAAGTCAGGAAAATGCTGTTAGCAGCAACACACTGACAGGCTGTGCTACAAGTGAAAACAACACAGTGACAAGAGCACAGAAGAAAGCTCACAAACATCTGTCCTGTTAATAATCTGACTTGATCTGCAGTCCCACCTCCTACCTTCTACCTCCCACACTTACTCAAGAACTAGACTCAAAACCACTTGCAGAAACAGAATGCTATTCTGAATTTCTATCACACTGCAGCATAGTTTTAGATAGGTATTGAAATGTCACTTTTACCAAGTTAAATTACAATTCATTATGCTCAAGATTAACTTGAAAGAACTAAATCACCACCAAGGCAGGAGAGATCTCTTTCAGTGAAAAACAAAATAGTTGGTAAGGAGCTAATTACCCTATAAATGTAAATAAATCCATGCATTTTATTTCAGAAACCAAACTGATCAATCTTCTACAATCATTTAGGCAAGTTAAACTGAGGTTACACACAGTGACGCCTGACAGTCTGCAAAAAGTTAACCACAAACTGAACCACCTCAAACGTGAAAGACTTCCACATGTATCACTGGCCCTGAGTGCTATAGTTTTTAATCACAGAAAATGTACATTAGATTTTTCATACACAGTTCATAGTTTAAAATACCAGTTAGGATGGGGAAACAAGGAAAAACCAGTGGACTTGTGACCACAGAAGTGAGGCAAAGCCAACTGTTAATGTGAATGAAATTAAGAACAGTTCCTAAAGCCACTGGTACAGAAAAGCTTGTATCAAGATATTCAGCTTCCCTTACAGTGCTCGTCAAAGTCACACCCATCCAAAGCATTCTATATCCACAAAGTTTGCATTTCAAGGGAGAAGAAACCTTCCACCCTCACCAGAACAGCAGAAATCAGTAAACAAGGTCTCCCATGACTGCCACAGGGAAAGCTGGCCTGATTTAGCAGGATTGCCAGCCCAAAGCTCCTGCAAAACAGCACTCACGGATTCATGTCCTTGCACAGGAGCATTTGCTTCAAAATGACCTCAACGTATTTTCTCTCCCCAAACAACTGCAAAGGAAGAATTTTAAGTGTGCTAACAGAAGCTAATTTAGGTTGGAGGAAAAGGTAAGCCTAAATCATTCAAAATACTGTAACTGGGAAACTACTGACCAAGAAAAAAAAAATTCTCATCAGGAAACTCCTACAGGAAATACCTGCAAAGAAAAAGTGAGTGGAACTAATTACAGCTACAGGAAGCAAAACAACAGTTAGGAGGTTCATCTGATGATGACAGGAATATTAGCTCATACTACACAAAGGGTTCCAAATCTATGGATGATTTTTTTCCTTCAGACTTTAAAATGAAGATGGTTATAGCTTACTTGCCATGCTAATGTTAACAAGTTTTTCCTCCTCCTTTTTTCCTCTCAAAACCTTATTATCATCTACTAAGATATTAACAATGGATAAAATAGTAAGAGAAATCTATTGATTCCTTTTGCTTTTCAAAATAAATTTACTTAGTAGGAAAGCAACCACACTTGTTAAAATATTTAGATGTACCTTTTGCTGGAAATCGTTAACATTTCCCTTAAGACATGCTGGGCACATAAATCTCAGAATAGAGCTGATACTTGAAACTAATTCTTGAGTTTGCTTGAAGGAGAAGTCATTATTTATTTACTTTCAGCAGAAAACCTTTGTTCACAGGGCCCCTACCAAATCTGCTGGTTTCTTTGAAAACAGTGTTCTTTATTTACACAGATGACTTCAGAAGTACATACATTCATACATAGCTAACATAAGAGATGGTGAACAGTCCAGCCAGCTACACTATCCCTAAAATGCTCTAACATTCTAGCAAAGGCCAGTAACTTAAAATAGACCTTGGAGTGTACTCATAGCCATGACTTCATGAGGATAAAATTGATCAAGTGATTTTGCTTACGTTGTTCTCTGCTGAGAACTGTCCAGTCCAGCAGGAGATAATCACAGCACATCCCTGCACTTTTCATTGTGTTCAGGGGGATGTTCTGAAGCATTGCCTGTGGTATTCCCATCACCCTCCACTTGTCCTGCACAAAATCCAGCTTTAAGCTATAACAATCCTCACCCTCTTTCTCCCAGGCACCAAGATTTTAACTTTGCACTGTGGAACAATGAATGAAAATGAAGCCCAGTTTGACAACAATAAGGGAACACAGAAGGTAACTGCAGCTCTCTAGTGACATATGCAGAGCTTTATGTAGGCACTATGAGAGAAACTGAACCAGACAACTGCAATGAGTGTTCTCGAAAATTCTAAATTCATTGACAACAGGAATTAGGGAACTGATTCAATAGCTGTATCAAAGTTCACAGACTGAAACTTGCAGGAGGAATGAAAACATTTACATGATAGTTAATTTTTTAAAAACCACGCTGGATGTACAGCACTGACAGCCAACACGGTCCTAACAAAATACTACTTAATTAGTCTTCCACAAATGTTGTCAGAAAAACAACTCTGCTTTTAATCTGCAAAGGACATCATCACCAAGGGAAAGGGAAAGCACAGTTTGATTCTTGAAAGTACAACCAAATTAACTGACTGTGCGAGCTCTGCAGAACTCAAACACCAGCTGGAGCTGTAGCAGTAAGAAATGAATACATGACACCAATAATTTAACTGCAACTTGTTCAGTAATTTTTTCAAAGCCACAAAATTCTCCCCTTGAAGTAAAAATCATTGCAAGCCTGATTAAGAGATAAGCACAAACAGATTCCTATAAAAATAATTAGGAACAAGGAAACCTTATTCATTCCTCAGCAAAGGTAAGATAACAAACCCACATTTGATACTGGTTTTGTAATCAGATGTAAAAACAGGATGTTAATCAATTTTTATTATATTATTACCTGTCATAAAATGCATTTCAAAGATGCTGTATTTGAAATACTTCAAGTTCCGTGCCTCATTTCTTATACTTTGTATCAAATAAAAGCTTCAAAACACTTTTCCCTCTGGATCTGCAAGTGGAAGTCTACATTTCTGGATGCAAATAAAGTATGTGGTTGCTTGAACAAATTACTACGTTGTATCATCCCCAATATTACCCTTCACATTAGTAGATGAAGTCATTAGTTAGGAACACAAGTGCACTCTCCTTAGAGAAAGCTGAAGCAGTAACTCTGAACTCTTCATAGCCACACCTTTTCTGTGGAAGTCAGATCAATTAAGGAAAACACTCCCCTCACACAACATACACTTGTCTTTGAAACACCTGACTGACAATACCTATGGTTTTATAATTTCTGTTCCCCAGCCAGAACTCAGGTAACTGAGCTCCAATTTAGTCTTAAAGCATAAAACATCTGCATTCTAAGTAATTTGAATTCTGTGCATTTGAATTCTGAATCACATTTAAAGAGAAATGCTGAGTTCTGTGAAATGACTGGCAGCAAGTGGTAATGAAATCTTTTGTGTAGTACAGCACAATTAAATACTTTCAAGCAGAATGAGATTTTCCCTTTAAAATGACTCAACCCAAAAGGAAAAATGTCACCATCTGGAAAAGAATTTCTGCAGAGAAGTCAATTTGTGAAACAGACAATAAGGAGATAAAAAAGCAAAGAGCTCATTGATTTAGAATCATTCCTTTAATCCCAGTTCCAAGCTAATGTTTTAGGAGGAGCTGTGGCCCTTTTCTGTCTTTCTCACTCTGAGGGAAATGAGGCAGTGCATAGCATTTTTCACAATCCAGCATGAAAACATTCATAACCAAATTAAAGGAGGAAATATTCACAACTGACTGGGACTGGTTTAGAATCTAAATGGGAGGTGCTGGGCTGCAGCTCCAGAGCTGTGTCCAAAACCCCTAACTTTGGCTGAAGACTGAACAGGAAGATCCAGATGTCTTGCATAAATACTGAGTATGCAAAGTATGATTTAAACTAACTTGATTTGTAAGGAAGGCAAGGTATTAAGACATCTGGGGAAACTGCCATGGAAGTATTGCTCACAACATACCCAGAATACACACCCAGGTATTACTTGTTTCTCTCAGAGTAACTTTTGCCATAAGCCTCATCCTGGAGTTGTGTGCTCAGGAACACATCACAATAAGCTTTTCACTGCTTGTACAAGTTACAGTACAGTTTCTGCAGACAGAAATCACAAAGCAAGAACTGCTTGTTAATGAATGCTAATCTTACCTGGGACTTTGTCAACAGATGCAAAGACAGAGCGCTGCACTGTCGGGTCACTGCTCCCACGCCGGGACTGGTCATAGAATCTAAATGGGAGGTGCTGGGCTGCAGCTCCAGAGCTGTGTCCAAAACCCATAACTTCAGTTGAAGGCTGAACAGGAAGATCCAGGAGAGCTATGTTTAATCACAATTGATAGTTTTTGTTACTCAAATACATAAAAGGAAAAAGAGGTGGCAAGAAAATTGATAGTTTGCTCAGGACCTAAGACTAAACCAGATTTTAACATAACTTGCTTTCATTTGCCTCTTAAGTATGTTTACAAATGCACTAACAGAGTCAGTGCTTCTGGCAACCTTTTCTACATTGCTGTCCACACCACATTCACACTAGGGAAACCTCAAAATACAGTGGAGAAGAAAAAAACCCCAGGATTACAGGAAGCCCCTTGCACTAAAAAAACCATAGGAGTTATTAACAATAAAAAACCCCTTTTGTTTTTCCCTGCAGAAATAAAATAATTCATTAGTTACAAGGGAACACTGCAGAAAGCCAGTTAAAGAGACAATGGGCTTTAAAATGGAAAAGAAATGCCTTTGCATTACATTCAACCTAAAATTTTTAATATCAAGTAGATTGTAATATCCTCAAACTCGCTTTCAATTTTTTTACATGAAGCAAGGCATAAAAGCATGACATATCCACTTTATAAGCTCAAAGTTATAGATGAAACTAAATCTATTCCTTGGAAACTCAGCCCTGGTACAGAGCTTTCTGTGGCCCACCACTCCTCAGTGTGCCTCAGCCTTACATTGCAGAGTGACTTGCAACGACAGCCAATTCTTGTCTCCCAGCACCACTTCAGGACAAGCACTCACCTGCTATTCTCTGCATTTTGGTGCGCCGAGCCTGGATCCGGCCTTTGGCCAGGCGCTGCTTGGCGATGATGCAGCGAATGTGATCCGCAAAAATAAACGTGGCCTGGAGGATGGGGAAGGGCTTCGAGTGAGGGCTGGAGGCAGGCTTGTGAATGATTATGTTCAGGGCTCTGCTGTCATCCTCTACTCCAGTCACCTGCATATCCTAAAGAGAAGCAGAATGCAAATAGTTAAAGAAAAAGTAAAGAAAAGTTAAAGAAAAAGCGTTTCTAAAATTACAGGTTAAATATTAATATTGAAAGAAAATACTATGAGAAAGTTCCATTAAAGCTCTTACTAAGAGTTTCTGTGTCAAAAAACCCAACAAAATAAAACCAAACCAGACTCTGCAAGTTGTACAACTTGGATTTACTTCTTCAGAAATCAGTATTCATAAAGATTGAGTTATCTAAGCACAGTAAATTTTCAGGAAATACAAACAGCAATGGTTAAGGCAAGAAGGAGACAAATGATAAAAACTTCCTTAGATAAGCATAGATCATTTTGAAATTACAACCTGCCACCTTTTCTACCTGTGCAGGAAAATCAGAACTCTAAGTGAGTTCATGAATGTGCTACTTTCAGTAAAGTGCTTGGAACACAATCCTAACCAGATGTCACTTCAGTGTTCAAATGAGCTCAGTCCAACATATGTTAGGGAAGTTACCCCATCTGCAATTGTGTCTCTGGCTATCTACGTAAACTTCTTCAGAAAACCAGAATTGTTTTAAAAGGCAGGAAGCAGAAAAAAGACAAAAGAAACAAGGAAGCATGGTACAGAGCTTAAATATATAAGCTAATACTAGTATTACTGTTTACCCCACATAAAATATAGATTTGCAGCTCGGAAAAGCTGGCCACCCAAACTACAACTTCCCTTACCTGCAGAAGGCCTGCAAACTTAACTACTCCCCATCCGAGTCTGGCAACATCTGGTTCAACCAAACTCATCTGGTAAATATCAACAGCCAGGAATCTTTGAACTTGACCCCCATCCTTTGTTACGACTGTGCAAGCAATCAGATCACTGTTATCTAAAGGAAGGAAGGAAGGAAGGAAAAAGGTTACATAACACTGAAGTTGAGGATTCTGGGGTGTGGGTATTTTACATAACAGAAAATGTTAACATATAAAAATATAACAATCTGGACAACACATAGTTAAAGCTTCTGTTCACATTATTAACAGATATTTTAACTTCCCTATCATAGTTACATAGAAAGGGCAAGAGAGATTTTAACAACAGTGGTTCGCACATACAAGTTAAATATAAGATGGGTACTATATACACCTTGATTTCTCTTAACACTTTCATTATCTTTCAGAAAAAAGCACCCTTCATTTCAGGGGTGAAATTGCAACAGTGCCGATCTCTCTCACTATGTGAAGTCTCAAGAAGTCTTGTGAAAAAACACAGCCAGACCCAACACCACTGCAGGCCATTACTTCTACCTTGTTATAAACTTTGTCTCCTGACACAAGCTACCTTTGTACAGGTCTGAAACCTATGCTGGCTCTTGGACACACTTCAATTCCAAGATTATTTGGACTCTCCAGGTAAATTGTAGTAGTGTTTTGACAACATTTGTTAAATGAGGTGACATTTTTTCCTTTATCAATATATTTCATTGGCTCATACTGAACAAACATACCCTCTCTTACTCTAGAAACCCCTCCAACAAACCCCAAAATACATTCTCTGCCATTTCCTCACTGCCCCATTCCAGCTGACACCCATTATTCATGAAAAGGGACTAAATCACCCTCTTTATACCACCTGAAATCTACCAAGCAGCCCTTAAACCGGCAGTGCCAACCCATAGCACGGCTCTGCTAACTACTAAGAGTTGCTTTTCCCTTTGCTTCATACTGATACTCTCATTCATATATTTGATGCACACAGGTCTTTTCCTCTCTCTCATCTAGTACAACTTACAGCAAGTAAAATATTGCGAAGTAAATAGAACTTATTTATTCATCCGAACATCAAAACAAGCATTTAACACCATTTTTCATATGAGAAACACTTGCAGGATAAACTACAAGTGAAGTGTACAGCTCTTCAGAGTGGCAGGTCACACAACTAGAGACAACAGCCATAAATTATGGTCAGGAGGTGGAAGAAATTCTTTGGAGCAGGTTACCCAGAGATGTTGTGGAATTTACATCACCAAAGGTTTTCAAACTTCAAAAATCAGACCAACTTCCTCTTCCCCACAAAAAAACCCCCACAACACAACTGAGAGATCCTTTCCAACTAACATTTCTACGAATCTACCAATTACCCTTTACCAGCAGGATTCATTCAAAATTCACTGGGTGGTAGGAAAGAAAGGCATGAAATATAGAACCCTAACACAATTAAGAGGATAATTAATGCTAACCAGTGTGAATTTACTGTCAGCTTTTGAAATTTGAGAAAACAAGTTTAATCAATAAATGCAATACATACAGGACATGATTCAGTTAACATGAGGATTGATTGCTATTACCTTCTCGCAGCCCTGGAAGGCTCAAGAAATCCATAAAGGATTGGCAAATATTACTGTAAAAAGCTGTGGAGGATCTGTTCCTGTTTAGAGAAGCTGCTGAGACACCAGGCAGAACTGGATATTTCTTATTTTCGTATGCTTTATTTCTTGCCTCTTTTACTCTTTAACCAAATTAATCCATCAACATAGTTGTTTCAGTTGACTTAAATTCCTGGAGCAGCCCTGTTTTTCTCAAGGCACAAAGTGCTTGGATTAGGACTCCTTCAAACAGGATATGTCAGGCTGATGAGTTTTTTGGGAGATTCTCAATTAACAGGCCACAACATCAAATAGAGTTGAGGAGTTCTCAAATAGCAGTTTTTGACCAGTATTTACAAAGTTTTAAGTGCAACAGCAAGTAGGTTAAAATACTTACTGTACAAATTCAACTGCCTAAGTACAAAAATACACTACTTCAGGAACTCAAAGGGCAGAATGCCTTCCAGAACAGAAAGTTTTTATTTTAGACCTGACAACACCTTGAAGCAAAGCATTACTGTAAAGGTCTTTAAAAGAACAGAAAGGAAAGGCACTCATTTACTAGGCAACTATTATAGGAATCCTTTGAGCCTATACAACTGAATGTAGTCATTTACATGACTGTTTCTAGTTCACAGCTGCTGAAGAGTCATAAACTGTCATCCTTGATGACAAAACAGAAGAGAAAGCGTGGTTAAACATATTTTCAGTGGACTGATAGAAGCTTACAGCTATGCTATGAAACAGCTAGAGATACACAACCACACTCAGGTGAAAATATCAAGCCCAGTAAACTTCAGACTATTCAAATTTGGTCTGATTACAACGAACCACAGGCTGAATGGCTTCCTGGTGTGAACTGCTGCAGAGAACTGGAGTGCCTCTTCTGAGAGTAACAGCAATGGCCAATTTCTCCTCATGCAAAATGAAGCTTGTAAACAGTTTGGACACTACACCTCCATTACATGGATCCAAGACTTCTGTGGACTTTCTCCAAGAAAAATCCAAGTTTTAGGAAATACAGCCAAGGAAGGAGAGTTCATAGACCTCAGCTGCTTGCAGTATTGAAGATGTAAATTCAGCAAAAATAGTTGCCTGTGTTTATAAAAATATTTGCCTGAAAAGACTGTATTGTAAGAAATCTTTATGAATGTAACAGCTACTCAATATGGTCTAAATGCACCTGATCTGCCTTGGGGCTTGATCTTTAATGATTTTATAATTTCCAGTCATCCCAATTCCAGAAATCATCTGCAGACATTAAAAGCTCTTACAGAAAACTTTTAGCCCTTTGTACACACAGCTGGCAGCCCAAGATAAGCATTAGGCTGGAGATAGTGAATGCAGCACCTCCCACTTCAAAGGAAGAACTCTTCCCAACAACAGGCAGCCCTTCTGGGATGATATTCTGCTTTACTAACTAAGAAAGCAACCAGTCATGAATCCACCTTGTTCCCATGAACTATGTTTAGTTGAAGTTAGAGGATGTGTCCCTGGTCATACACCTGCACTACATTTTGGGTTACTCTCTTTGCCACAAATATGGCAAATTGTCCTGGATGCCTTTTTTAGCTAACCCTGGTTTGAGCAGGAGGGTTAGACTAGATGATCTAATGAAGTTCCTTACAACCTCAATTATTCCATCATAAACTTCTCTCAAATCTTTTTTAAAAAATGTTGACCATAATGGCCTTTTAAAGCCTGCTCACTCTGTCTGCAAAGCAGGCAAAGAAACTTAACTATAATGTTAGTCTTTTTTCTGTTTCAGCAAAGAAATAACAACTGTAAATGTATCCTCATTTACCATGGCATTTAAAACATGAAACTAACAGAATCCTGTTATCACCTGAAACCAAGCCCTGAGGCTGTTGAGCTGCCTGTGACTACACAGTGAGCTGCTAAACAAGACTGAAAACACCTCCAGCCTCACAGGCAGTCTAAGTTAAACAGTTATCACAAAATACATAATTGCTTCAAAACGATTTACAGTGGAAAAACACTGCAAAGTAACAGTAGTTGTAATTCTGGTGACAGCATATCCAGCAGGATGGAATGAACCTTCCGTGGAATGACCTGACTCTCTATTTATACATTCCTGTATACTGGTGGCAACCTTGTAACTACACCTAAAGGTTTGCATTCAACACATGCGCATCAAAATATTAAAAACGCTTCTTACAAGAAACTTGAATCTCCCTCATCAAGCTCACATAAAACACCATCATTACATTCAGGCAAAAGGATAAAAGGAGCTATTTTGATACAGTTTTGTGGGATTTTTCCAAATCAAAACAGTAGCTGAAACCATTACTGGATCATGTTAACCTCTACTCCCTGCTTGAAACCATTTGTATACAAACAAGCATAAACACTGAAGGCATCTTAATGTTCCCAAGAATTTTAAAAGCCTTGTATTAACAGAGATTGAGGAAAATTTGTTAAATCAACAACACCTCCAAAGTGATGTTAAAAAGGCACGCAAATGTCATTTTTTTGGGTCATGCTTCGCCCACTGCAAAGTTTCCTCCCAAGGTCTGGCACCTATGCAATCATGTGCATCCTATGTGCTTTATGCCAAAATGCTGATATTCTGCTGTCTCTCCTGTTTGGGCAGATTCAAAAAATACATTTTTATGCTACAACACACAGTAGAACCTTAACACCATGCTACTTCAATTCAGGCAGTTTAAGTAAGAATAGCAGTTCAAGCAGTTTAGGAGAAAAGTATTTATTAATTAATAATTATTTATTTTTGTAATTTTTGTATCAGACTGTTTAGGAAATTGAGGGGCTACTTACTCAAATCCAGAACATCATCTGCCTTTATCAGATCTCCCTCCCTCGTGAGTGGTAACTGAGTTTCCAGCTCACCTTGCAAGTGCAGTGACAGTGAACGGAGCATAAAGAAAACTCTGATTGCCTTGAGAAATTAAAGAAAATATTATCAGAATATTTTTACACCCAATACTACATATTTTAACAGAATCTTACAAACATATACTGGCTTTTACAATTCCCAAGTTTGCTATCCTATAGTAAATATTTTTAATACATTTAAAATTGAAATGAAAATTTTAATACCTTTTACATTGAAAAAGTAGAATGTAATTTCCTACTTAGTTAAAAAAAAGACATTAAAGAAGCTGAAACATGCCATTTATTTTCAGTGAAGTAGAAGCAGCAGAGCTTTTGTCTCACTGACACACACAGAATGTGACTGACAGGGAAACAATTACAGGAGCTGTTTAAGCAAAATCAATCTTGGAATATTTTTATTTAATCATTACTTTAAGACTGATTGTATTTGCAATACTTCTATGCTACAGACACCTACACAACCAACCTTCAGAGACTCTCACATTTTTGAACTTAAAACAGTAATAACTTTTCTGGCCAAGTCTGGCTAACATGTCTACAAGTTAAGAGAGAAACAGAGGAGATTTCTGCATTTTAATTTGCTGTTCTCACTAAAACCAGCCACATGTAATATAACTTTCTTGGAGAACTTAATTTATATTCTCAGAAGGTCTTCATCAGGGCAAAGCATTCTGAAAGCTGCAACAGTCCCAAGAAACTTTCAACAGCTGCTCTGTGAAATGAATATGCTAGTTTTGATTTACAAATTCATGACATATGGTATGCAAAGACCCAAAGTGTCAAAGAACAATCATTTTATTAGCAACATTTTGAAAGGCACCATTTATAATCCTCTTTCCCTACAAGAATTGCATTTTCAGTACAGCAAATGAAAAATCATTTTTTATTACTTCCGGTGTTCTGCTTTTTAAGAGTTTCCTACACAGTAATTCTGTGGTGTACTGTAAATTAACTGCTGCTTTACAGTAACAGCATTGAATTCATGAACAGCTGCAGTGCCCAGAAACTCCCAGATTGCAGGAAGTATCAGGAAAAACAAATCTAAAGTGCTTTAAGGGAAAACCCTTCACTCCTCTATTTTTAAAATCAACAGAACAGTGGCTCCTGTGAAGCAGAACTGTGAGTGTTTGGCCAGCTCTCTACTGGCAGTGCTTCCAGGAATTTCTGGCAGAACAGGGATGAAGAGAGGGAAGCCATGTATCAGGTTCTTCCATGAAATGACCCCAAAGCATAGGACATCAAGGGTATCTAACAAAAATATGATAACAATACTATTTAATTCATGAGAAGAGAGTCACTTGAGAATGAGAGATGATCACTCTCATTTAGGCAGACTGCCTTCTAATGTATTGTGGATTTACTGAAATTATACAGGATTACTATAAAGCAGTTTTCCTACCAAGTGCTTCAAGACGAGTTCACAGTATTTGGTTTAATGTTTGCCAAATTCAATCAAGAACAGGAAAATCTTGGCATTTTTGGTAACCCAAAAGTTAAACCCAACAAGGTTTTTGTTTGGCTTTGGTTTTTTTTTTAATTTGGAGGGCAACCATCACTCAGCTTTCACTTATCTTCCCCCTCAAACCTCTTCCTCCTAGACTGCATTAATTTTTATCACATTCATTTCCTATAAAACTAATGACACTCCTCTCCAAACTTGTAATCACATTTAGTGCAGAACAAAGTACAGGAGTAGAAAATAAAATTAGAACTTCAGCCTTTGAAAAAAAAACAAAAACATGAACAAGAACATCAGATGAAATGGGAACTGTGCTGTGCTTCCTACAACACTGACAGCCCTCAGTTTGTCACCAGTATCAATATATTGTGCCTAACACATTTCATCAGATCTCAACGAAACAATAGAAAAGTTCTGTGGCCTAGAAGTTTTTCAGCTGACTTTTAGTTTTTTTGGTTAACTTGGAACAAATACATATTTCTACCTACATTAAAGAATTATGCACTATGATGCTGATTTCCTCATTTACATGTTCTGTGTGCAAAGAAACAGCAATTTGCAGAGAAACCTACCACTATCTTACTACATTCCCATGAAAAAGTGTTCTTAGTACTTCAAAAACTTCACACAAAGTGAGATTTTTGAGAGCTTCTCCTAAAGTTGTTAAAGAGGAGAAGAGCTGCCACTTACAGGGACTTTCTACAGCAAGGAAATAAGTTCCTAACAGTTAAGAACTCATAATATAACCAAAGTTCACTTGCTAGTGAAATAAAACTTGGAAACTTTTCTGAATCATGTCAGAGCATGCTCAGAATCAAATCTTTTTCCATTTGAAACCATCCTTAGAACCTCAGCAGGCTGAGTGGCAGCAGCAAAGTCACAAGGAATACCTGAGTCCAGCATTTTGTCATGGCAGCTCAGCCGGGGAGAGGCAGCCTGGCTGCAAGGAAGCAGCTCAGGAAATGAGGAGATACTAAACCCTGAGTGCAATGGACTGGGGAAGGAGCACCAACAAGGAATCATTCTGGGAATTCTTGCTCATGATAGAGACCCTTTCATCCCAAAGGATCTACAGGAATATTGGTATTGATTTTTTTATCTCCAACCAACAGAAGTTAAGCTATTCCTTAGCACACGAAAATCCTGGAACAGTCATTTCCCACTAATGTGCATTTCTAAGTATCTTTCTGTTGAATGCCACAGAGAGAATTTCAGGAAGCATTTCTGCTTTCTAAGAATAATACTTTTCAAAATAATTCACTGTATTCTATCTAACTTGCTGTGATAACAAAAGCTGTGTGGCTTATAAGCAATGAAAATAAACCTTTTCAGAAGATTCCTGGAAATATGTTGTTTTTTTTTTTTTTTTTCTTCAAGAGTACTTGAATATACTTAAACAATACAATTATATAAATGCAAAGAAACTTAGAGAACAGCACTTCCCAAATAATGATTTTGTGCAGTAACATATCTCTTAGATTTACTGACAGTGCAAGGTTTCCGGGACACACCCAGATAAGGGCCAAGAACTGATTAACCAAGAATGGAAATAAGGATGTTGTCACTCAGGTAAATATCACCTCTGCAGATTGTGTCAATCACAAAAATAGATACTTTGTTGGTTCTCTCTTCGTTCTCAAATCTCTATCACAAATTATCTTGGCAAGATGAACGCTCATGTAAGATTAAATTTTTTTCTATGTCTAGAAATATGAGCAATACAAAACTAGTCAGCCTTCCATGGAGATTCTTACTACAGGAATATAATTGAGGTAGCAGATCAAAAAAGAAGCTGACAATATACTGAGTATCATCAAAATGCCTTTCTTTGTAGCTTTCTGTATGGTCTGAAAACTTAAACCCCAGTGCAAGAACACACTGCATTGACTAGACACAAGAAATCAGAGAGAAAACTTCTCCACTGGGGCAGGTAATTATAATATATACTCTACACAGATCTGTCTTCAGCAAGCTTTTAGGATTTTATGGATGAAGCTTCCAATCAAGTAGTTTTCAAAGAAAAGTATTTGTATTCCTAGAATTGCTCAATGATTTTGGCATCATTTTGTCATGAGCAGATATAAGAGAAACAGTCTTACTCACTCTTCGTGTTCTTTCCACATCTCCACAAGGCAACCTTTTCACAAAATCAATCCCAGTCAGAGGTGTCCCCGTTGGGGGTAGCAAGATTGAGGCATCCATCATCAAGTATTCTACATTCATAGGTTTCATCTACAAGAATATTTTAGCACTGGTTAGTATACAGAACAATAAGCATTTGCCTCTAGTTTCAAATACAACTCCTTGGTGTGTATTTTAAAATTTTGAGAATTTTTAATACCATGTCTTATTTCCTTAAATAAGGAAATTCCTTACCTGCAATCTTTCATTTACTACATGCAACTTCTCATTGTTCCCAGACACACTGCCAAAGTTTTCATCCAATAAAACACAGGCAAAACACCAGAAGATTACAGAAATGCTATTTCCCAAATACTAAAAACAAAATTCTGCCAGGTTTGACTTTAAGTTTTGACTTAAATTTGTGGTTACTTCAATCACAAGGAAGTTTCTTGTAACTTTTTCTCTCCAAAAAGAACTTTCTCAAAAGAGAGAATATGCTGAGCTTTAGGGAAAAACAATAAACCCAGTGTCCCATTTAGTAGGCTGAAGCAATTTTTGTATACTCAATTTTCTAAGTAATGGAATTTTATTAAATGAAGAGCCGTGAAGTTTCACATAAATAATTTATGTAAGCATAGACACAACTTCTCAGAGACAAAACCACCACCCATATTTCGTTATCCTACTCCCAGCAATAAAGACCCCAGTGTGCTCAGCATCTATCAGCACATGTTCTTGCTCCTGTGCTGGATCTGGGTTTGAGGATTTACCAGGGCAGAAGGGGTCTCACTTACTGTCATACTCCGGTATTCATCTTCAAACATATCCAGAAAGATTTCTTCTCCCTTCCAAAAGAAAGAACATGGACATCCCATGAAGCCTTGCTGTTTGGGGCTCTGTCCGGTTTGGTTCTGTACAGTGTGTCTGTGAAGGGAGGCCAGGGCTGCAGGGCACTGCTGAGCCCTTCAGCAGCACTGCTGACACCTCTGGGAAAACACATTTAGGAAAGGGAGAGATTTCTCTGCAGCCCCTGGAGGACCATGGTGGAGCACAGCAGGCAGATCTGCTCTGAAGGAGCTGCAGTCTGCAGGACTCACACTGAAGCAATTGTTGTCCTGAAAGACTGCAGCCCATGGAGGAGGGGACCCACACTGGGGCAGATGAAGGTGTGAGGAGGGAGGAACAACAGAGAGAAGCTGTTCTGGACTGACACCAAATCCCTACTTCCCATTGCCCCTGGACCACTCACAGGGGAAAAGGTTGAAGAGCTAGGAATGAAGCTGAGCCTGGGAAAAGGAAAAGTTGAGGGACAGCAGTGTTTTAATTTGTCTTTGTTTCTCACTATCTAAATTTATTTTTCTTGGCAATAAATTAATTTCTGTGAAGTTGAGTCTGTTTTGCCCAAGACTGTAATTGGCAAGGGACCTCCCTGTTCTTTATCTTGACAAGATATTCTATTCTCCCTCCATCCTGTTGAGGAAGGGCAATGAGAGAGCAGCTGAGTGGACCTCTAGCAGCCAGCCAAGGTCAAACCACCACAAGTTACTTATTTTTTGTAAGCCACATTGAGCAAACATCCTTCAAGAGAATTCTAAGAAAAACAGGAAGATATCTCAGACACTTGAAATCTGTCATGGATTTACTGCTTCTTATATAGAAGTTAATGCCTAGGGCTAAAAAATTTCATTTCTTTCATTGTTTACAACACACATGTAAAAGTAAAAAGCTGCAAACATTTCCAATAAGAAAAAAAAATTAGGCAAAACTTTAGATCATAATTTCAGATATGACACAAACAAAAAGCAATGTCAAAACCAAAACCACACATATTCCATATTAGTGTCAATGATAAACTTGATCTCCAGGACAAACCCCGTGAGTCTTCCAACAGCCCTTTGTGACATATGTCAGGGTGGTATGGGAAAGGCAGAAAGGCGAGGAATTCTCCAAGAAAGCACTTCCTTCTCTATCACAAATTTGGAGTTCCCATCTTAAGAAAGGTGCTTCTTTGGTCACTATGTAAAGACTGGGCTGCAGACATTCCCCATATGTAAAGGATCTTTTTCTTACAGCATTTTGCATATTTACCTTATAGAAGCGACGAAGGAGATGAACACTTTCCTCCCTTGCACCCTAGGAAAGAGAAAATGCATTTCAGGGAATACATACACCATTTACTTATTAGTCACTTTAAAAAACCACCCAAACACTTATACAGAACAGACAGTCTAATAATTCATGGCCTTAATCCCAGAATTTGATAGAATACAGTTCTTGCACCCATGAAAATGCAGCTTATTTGAATTTATTATTTATTATTTCAAAAGCACTTTTCTTTACATTATTAAGATGGATAACATACAAGTTTCAGAGATATAAAGAAATAAAAAACTGTTGGAGAAGTTACAAATTAAAATAACACAGATGAGAACAGAGCATAGGTTATGATGTTCACAGCACAGAGCTACCAATGCAAACATGTTCTAGAAGCTCAAATTTCACATTAAGGCTTATTGCAATCAGAAATGAAACAAATTTATTCAACTATACTCCAAGACTCAGACACCAGTAATGCAGTGACTGGGAATTTGAAAGAAAATACTCACCTCAAGACAATCAAGGTGAACACTTTTTATGATCCTGCCATTTTTGGAAAAGACAAGCTGCTTCAGCAATAGGCAGCCAAGCTCTAAAGTTGCCAAACGAATTTTTCCATCTGTGAAAAGAAAATTTCAACAGACAAAATAGTAGCAGTTTTGTTACAGCTCTTGTGATCAACCCGTCCTCTTAAATGTTTCTACTCTTCCTGCAATTGTCAAACTTTGCTCCTCTGTCACACCTCCATCAGGCAGGGATGAGTGCTAGTGCTGCTTTACTATGCTGATGGCTATAAAGAAAAAACTGGAAGAGTAATTTAAAGCTGAAGAAAATTTGAAGCAGAACCATTCAGTAAGAAGGCAAAGATTAATACCACTGAACAGTAAGCCCAAACATTGGGTTTCAGTGCCTTTATCAATCTGCTGCACAGGTTGAATTACTCTAAAATTACAAAAGGATACCAGACATTTGGGATGGATGAAGTTGCAAGGTGAAAGGAAGCTTTGTCTATAACATACTAATAAGGCACAGCTTTTCCTTGAAGAGAGAAAAGGAGATGTTCTACACAGCATGCAGCAAGTTGAATAAAAAAATCCCCCATTTCCATCCTTCCCCAGCACTTCCCTTCCCAAACATGCCTTTATTTAAATAAATACATATCCTCATTTGCACTCCTTCCTGCTGCTGCAGGTACAAACTCTTCATATATTAACATGTTTTTCACCTTTGATACATCAGCACAAGTTAATATGCTGTAGAGCAGTTTTGCAAGTCAAACAAACAAATTTTTATTCTACAGACATTCAAAAATTTGATACTGTGTCAGTTTCTGGGGAAATCCAATTCTACCCATTTAAAGATTAAAGGGGGCAAAGGCAAGGAGGAGAGGTGTGGCTTGAACAAAAATCATATTTTCATGGAAGAGGTCGTGGAACATTGTAACCGTCATTTCACAAAAAAAAAAGGAAGAAAAAACCCCATGTTTTCTGCAGAACAGTTCAGAACTGAAAATACAACCTGAAGTAAAAAAACAAGATGGGAAAATCTGCTACCACCTAGAGCTGACAGACAAAGGACTGCTATGAGCAAAGGACACCACAGTTTTCAAGATTATTTCTCAACTGAAATTATTTCTGCAAGCAAAGGTGAGACAGATCATATTTTCAGGATGAAATCCATTAAGGTAAAACCACTCAAAAATCTCAATTTTTGTTTATTCAAAAGTGCAAAAAGTAGGAATTAAGACAATAGATCCTTGTATAGTTCTGAGTATAAAAACTACTCAGCACAAATCCAGAGTTTCTGGTTTCTCACCAACAAAGGAAAAGCCAATAGTTAATTGTCTTTCAGAAACCATATCTACATACTGCTCATCAAAGAGCTTGCTGAACAGTCACTTTCCCCTCAAAGAGAAGAGGCTAAGTAGCTTTTTTATTTCTGCAAAAATTTCACCTTGGAAGAAAAAACAAACCCTGGAAAAGCAATACCTGGTTGTGCAGCATAATTCATTATCCTGATAAGCCCTTCTGCAAGGACATGATTGTACGAATTTCTCTCTTCAGCATGTTGAGCTGGAAGTTGAATTCTCTCCAGCTTGACTGAGTCAAGTCCTTTCATGGGGGTGAAGGAAAAAAATGAAAATTAGAAAACAGGAGTGTGCTGTGCTCTGAGGCAAGCATTTAACAGACCACAGCAATTTTCTCAGAAGAGAACAATTAGCAATAGGAAATAGGCTTTGACTTTGTATTACAAGGAAAAGGAGGAACAACAATGACCAAACACACTGATGAATCCCTGAAAATTCTCAGCCTTAAATGGGGCCTACTGGGTGGCAACCCTCAAATCTCAAAGTGGTTGGTGAAATGCAAATGATTTTGCTGTTTCTGAAATTCTCAGATTATTTGTTTCCATCTAAATCAAATCAAAGTCTAGCCATATATCTGGAGAGCATAATGGCTAAGGGGGAGAAGATCAAAGTCTGATGTTAAATTCTGCTTTGGTAGCTAAGTAATCTGTTCATATATGTTTAAACTAAATAGGAATTTTATTTTGTAGTAGGCCTATTTAGTATCCTCCCCAAGACAAGTAAAATTTTCACTGACTTGTTATGTAAGGAAACTAATCTCATCTTTCTTTAACATATTCCTCTGAAATATCAAAGTTATTTCTCAGGAAAGGCTGGTTTGCTGGGAGACCTCTTAGAACAATACACAATACACAAATATGGACTGTGGGGATCTTCCTGTCCCATTCTAAGGAACAGCAATAAACAACCCCATAAATCAGAAGATGACTCTGTTGAGGTTTACAGCCTCTTCCAACCATGGCCTTGCAGTTAACTCTACATAACAGCATTTACCTTTGTTGTGGGACATTGCATATAAAAGACAGAGCACAAAGAGCGCATAGTAATCGTCTTCAGGACAGTCCAGTGCATTATAGACCATATCAAGAAAAGGCCTGTGGGGAGGAGTAATTTAGAAACAGTTAAAAAAATCTATAGAAAAATGGGTAACTATCTTGTTGTACATGTAGCTAATGGAAGAGGCAAATTCACAGTAATGCACATTTTCAGGCATTATAACAGAAGAGTTGTGTTACAGAGTTTCTGTTGCAGAGTACTCAGATTACAGCCACGCTTTGTATTTATATACAATAATTCTGACAATAATTCTGACTTTTAACTGGATTCATTACATAACACTTTCCCAAGAACTGCTTGTTCAAACATTTACTGGGTTTGTTTGTAGCCTGTTTAGTAAGTACACAGAATCATTGCAGAGCTCGCTTTAAGTGCATACCTAAGTAAATTTAAGGAGCTGCTATCACTGTTGTATAAAATAGACTCCTTTAAAACACATGCTAAACAGAATTGAAAAGTTCTTACTATTACAAATAAAGCATTTTTATCAGAAGTTTGGAGGAAGCTAGGTTTTTCTACAACAACAGTTTTACTGTCCAATAGTTACAGGAAAGAAAAATTAACTAGGAGGGAATATCTGAAGAGAAAAAAAAGCTTAGGAAAACAAAGCTCATCTGCAATCCAGAGTTTAAAGACTTGTGACCTATGACACACATACAGGAAGTTACAAACAGTGCTAAGTTCACCTTTCCTTTACCTGTACCTTAGAAAGACAACAGAAGTCAGTGTAATCCAGAAGGCATTTGGACTGATCAGATATGGCTGAGATTAACCTGATATTAGCACAGGTTTGATGGCAAGGCAGCTTCACTTCTGGTCTTAAGATGGCTTGCATCCAGCCAGTTGTTCAAGTTCAGAGCACATGCAAAAACTAAATATATTTTCACAACTGGCCCAGATAAACAAATCATGTGTCAGGGTAGCGTCACAGTCATCAGAAGATGACAGTGTGGAAGCCTGAGTGGAAAGGGTTTATTCCTATCTGTTAAACTATACTTTAACAGTGAAATATTGCTACATTATCTAAATTAAATTAAAAGAAAAACCATTAAAATAACATCAAAGTCACAGAAGCAAACACATTGTGCTCTGTTCAGCCCCAGCAGACGAGAAGCAGGCACTACAAGCTCTCTGCTGTGGTTCCAGGGGGTCAGAAGGGCTGTCACAGGCCACAACACAGGACACTTCAATCCCCACTCCAGTCCTGTGGAGCCCTCCTGGTCACACTGAGCAGTCCCAAGGCATAACAGAGCTCTGGGAGTTCCCAGCAGCTCCAGGCACGTGCCAGCACAGGGCTCCCTCTTCCTGAAACCAGGCAGTGACCAACATGCCAGCCACGCTGCTCCCTGCTCAGCTCCTGCCACGGCAGCACTGTGCATTTCTGAGCCTGGATTACAGCGCTCCTCTACCAGAACTGCCACCGGCAGCGATCCCTCTTTGCCCAAGTTCAACACTGCTCAAAGTGCTTAAGTCAAATTGCCCACATATTGTAGATCTCAAAAGAATGTAACTGCTCAAGAAAAATAACCTAAAGAATTAGCAATGTTGAAAACGAGCCAAGAGGGCCTTCAGGTTTCCTAAGCACTACCCAAGCCCTACAAGCCCTGTGTCACCTTCAGATGGGGGGCTTTTCACTCCATAAAATGAGCTCAGCTTCAAGGTCTAAAGAACAAAGAGGACCAAAATTTTAAAATACTTAAATGCAAGATAACACTTGGTTTGTTTTCAGACCAACAGCAGACCGTAAACAACCGAAATCCTAAACTATAAAAGTACAATTTAATATAATTTCATTAAAGCCAAGGTTTTACCAGATCAAAGCTGCTGAGGTATCAGTAGTTGTTCCATTAACACCAATATTACATTGTATTAAATGACTTCTGTGATGTCTAACGCATTTTTCATTGTTTTCCCCCATATACTAATTAGATTCATGATATTATGAAACTTGAAAAAAAATCATTACACAGCAGCAAGAGATACCATTTTCATTCCAGATGCTTCTTCACAGCATCTTATTGGCATTATCTGTCTCAGCCACTATAATCTGAGGCTGAAACAACTTCCAAGAATCCCCCTCACCAATGTTCCTCATTTAGACTAAATACACAACAGACCCAGAAAAACTTCAGCCTAAGAAAACAGCAACAGAAGCCACAACATAGCATGAAGATTTGACATGCTTTGGAAAAAAAGCTTTGCTGTGCAGCATTTCATAAAATGAATTTAATTTAAAACATGTCTTTAAGCTTAAACTTTCCAGAAGTGAGGCCTATCAAAATAAAATAACACCTAAAATACTTAAGCTTTTTCTTTTGTTTTTCACAGTAGGAAAAGGGCTAAGGGAAATTAAAAGCTTGACTTAGCTTTTACAGCTGCAGATTTTTAACTGCCATCTGTGCTGTTTTCTATTTATTTTTCAACAACTATTGGACTGTTTTAAACAAAAAAACCAGTTTTCATAGTAAAGGCTATATGGTAAGTATTTTCAAATGTATTTCATAACTCTGTAAGCATTTGCTTCCTTTACTAGTCTTTTACTAAGGGCTTGATAGAAGCAGCAGATCAAAGGCCATCCAAGTGCTCCTCAGATTATTTTTTCTTGTGGAGTACGTCCACAACTGAAGACTGCAACACACTAGGAACCATTGTCAGCAGAAGCATTAATGATTATTGCAGGTGTGGAAGCTTCAGTTCCAGCATGGCACAAAGAGGTCCCTGCATTTTCCACTCCCACATGGTGCCCTATCCACAAGGATCAGTGATTCCAACCAGTGTAGGACAGAAACTACACATACAGAAGCAAGTCTCTTGAGAAATTAAGCTGTTGTTTCAAATATTATACTTGGCATAATATAATACAACATCTTAAGGTACAGCAGCTAATCTACTGACATTTCAAAAAAACCCAAAAAACATACAAAACAAAGGCCAGAATTGTCCTATACAAGGTATATCCTTGTTTTAAAACTATTTTTAGCTCTGCACATTCTTTGATGTTGCTTATTTTTAGAAAAGATGCAGAATGCTGTGAGACCACATCTGCAGATCAAGAGAGGCCTGAACTGCAGACATTTCCCAAATGCACTGGCAGCTCACTTCTAGGCATTCTGCACTTTTCAAGACCCGAGCATCCACTTCAGTATTCCATGCACTCACTGCCAATTTCTTTCTAAAAGCCATTTGGCACATATTTTAGTCAAATTATCAATAATCTAGAACAATGTGTTTTAAAGCCAGTTCAAGTCAAGGTTCAATTTCACTTTTACAATGAAATTAAATGTTATCTTTATTAATGAATGTAATCTAAACTACAAAGCTATAATGGAGACAGAATGAAATTCTGGGAATACCAGGCAGCATTTCCCAAGTTTAAAAATAAATTTTAAATCCTATCAAACATGTGCATTTCCCCAATGGACACATTTGCAATTACTTTTGTGTCAGGCACATTTGGTTTCTTAATATTCTATTAACAGGAATGCAAAATCTCTAGTGAGAAGGTGTCTTAGGGATATTCATTATATCCAAGCCTAAATTTTGAAGTCAGGGTAATTTCTGCTCCCAGAAACACTTATAAACTGTATTTCCAGTAGAAGTTTCCAATAATCCTAAAACATACTAATGGACCCTGGAAACAGTAAAAGGCTACAAGGGTTTCCCTATAACTACTGCTACTAACATTCTGCCAAACTCATCCCTGAACTGAAGAGTTTTCCTTGTTTTCTCCTTATAGGTGCATACAAAATGGACAAATGCAACCATAAATATGATTAAGGAAACTTCCACCTTAATTTAGAGGTTTAGGAAATTACAGAATGGAAACATTTATATTCTATTTTTGTCATGTTAATATTCTGCAATTTAACTTTACCAACTGAATGCATCACAACTGCCCAAAGGAAAGCACAAACTAGAACGGAACAGGATGATTTCCAAAACTGAGCAACAGAGAGGCTACACCTCACTTATGTATTGATTCACTCGTGATCCAGAAAAAACCCTGTAATTTTAACTTGAAGCAGATTTCAAACATCCCTTTAAGAAAAGCGAAAGATTTAAGGGGAGGGTAGGTAAGGAAACAATTCAGCAACATCTTTTACAGTTCCTTTATACCTGTTCCAGTTTGTCATCTCACTCCCAGAAGCAGCTGCACTCTTTTCTTCATCTGTTGTATTCTGTTCTGTCACAGCAGAGATAGACAGCTCTGACAGCTTACACCTCTCCATGATTACCATCTCTATTTCTAAAAAACCAAAACATACCACCAAAATTTGATATTTTCAACAAGATTATCACAAGCTCTTCTGTATTTTCTGTTTGGTATTAAAAACATCTCAAACATCTATATATAAGAGGTATACCATTAACTCACAAAGGTTAGTGAGCAGATGTGGGCAAATTTTCTTCCCAGCAGAGCCAAGAAATTGGCTTACATTTCGTTAAGGAATGTAACACTATAAAAAATGTATACATGTACATAAAATATGTAAAGAAAATATACATATCATTTTGGCAAATAAGCCACAGTCAGCTCCCTTCCCACGCAAACCACAGGAAGAAAAGCCATAGAACCTGTTTCTGAAAAAAAGATTTGTGAAAAAGCTGGTGAGACTGGGGCATGGGTGGACATCAAGTTTCACTGAGGGTGTAAACAGGCCTCTGCAATTGCAGCAAACAGGACACCTGGTCCCCAGTGCTTCTCACCTACTGAGTTTCAGTACAACAAACAAATCTTGCCTTCTCTTAGGAATTTGGACAAAGATTACAACTAAATGCACCAGTTTAAACAGTAGATTATTTCAGATTTTCTTCAAATCGTGGTGGAAAATACACCATCACTTGTTTGACACCATTTAAGGAAGGCCTTCTCAAAAAGACTGTTTACCTAAATCTAAACCCAGTCATGTTTGGACAGGACTGTCAAAGCATAACACTCTTGCTTTCAATTGCTTGCAGCCAATCCTGCCACATTTTTCTCAATTTATGTTTAATGTAAGTACTAGGACTTATATACATCCTTTTAAAAGTTAGTAACCATAAAATAAACAGTTACAATATGCTGTAAGACCACTCATTCTATAAAAGCAGTTCTTAGGTTTGTCTTACAACAAAAATGCAGAAAAAGTCCAAGTAAAAAAAAAAAAAATGTAAGAGTCAAAGATATTTTCAATTTTGAACTATTTTCCATCATGTACTGTCACTTCTAGCACACCGGTTACATTTTATCATTGAAACATACATAAAATACTGCTGATTATCTTGCAAAGGTGAAGTGGCTACAGCTCTCCCTTTCCACAAAAGGACAAGTCACAAAGCTGTCAAGCTTGCTTATCAAGTGCCACAGCCATGAACACTGAGGTGCAAGGCATGCATTGTGATAAGGGCCAAGGCCTACAGGCAGATATGAACACATTTTCACAGCTTTTAATGAGATTAGAAGTACATGTTCTCACAGCTTGATTTAACATGAGAAAAAAAATCCAGCCAAAGCCTTAAGCAAATATCATAGTCCCATGTTCACCTAGCAGCAAGAGAACAAGTCATGTAAGTAATCACAACTAGGTCCATCAGTAAACAAAAGTACCTAAATCATAAGCACTGTTTTCTTGCTGGAATACTCACCTTCATTTTCAGTGCTTGTTCTTACACCCTTTGAACTTGCTTCTGTACCTTTACTTTTATCAAGGTCATCTTGGTTGTCCTCAGATCCTCTCTCCTCTTCATCTTCTTCACCAACATTTTTATAGTTGGGTCTCTTCTGCATCCTCTTCTTCCCTTTCTGTTTGTTAATTTCAAGAGACCTCTCAAGTGATTCTGTGGGTTTTATGAAACATCTGATACTTGACTTTGCCTGTAAATTTGAAGAGTGTACACTGAGTTACAACACGGCATTTTTAACTGTAATTGATAAACTTCAGTTCATATAAAATGTAAATCAGCACACTATCCACAAATTTCAAATCCATTTTAAAATACAAAAAATTAATACCAAATCATCAGTAGCACAACTGTCCCCAAAGTAACATACCCCAAAGATCTATGGTTAAAAAGTAGACCTTCTTGAGACAAGATGATACAGAACTACCTATTTCATCACCACAAGTTTTAGATTGAAGGCGTGAGACATATTACACATAAAATTCAAACACCTTTTGTAAAAAGAATAAAAGCAGCAAAATCCTACATGTGTGTTGACAGCAGTGTAATAATATGAAATACACCCCTTTTAAAGGTGCAAGGACTTTTTTAAAACAGCAAGGACAAAATCCAATGCTCTATGCTGTGAGATTTTGGGTTGGTTGCGTTTTTTGAAGTCTTATGCTTCCCTCAAAATCAAACTAATTCCTGCATCAACTAGGAACAAATGACAATCATTAGCCTTTTTTGGGCCTCCAGACACTGACTTATCAAGTCTGGAAAACACAACTTCATTTATTAGACTTAATTTACTTGTGTTTTACACAAAGTTATCACAGGATAAGATGGCAAACCAACACCTCATTTTCCTAAGTATTAATTTATAGCACAAGAAAATAAATTTCGATAACAAATTTCTCCCAGAAGAAATTAAGTGTTTCCAATAATGTGTCATACTAACAAGACAGAACAATAGATTCTTATAGAAAGTGACCAAGATGCTGCAAGAAGCTCTGCAAATAGAAGGAGTAACAAATTTGGGTTTTAACAATTCTGCAGCTTGTTTGTGAGCTGTGCTGTTTGAACTCCCCTCTGCCTGCCAGCTGATCACCAGAGTACAAAATAAGCACTAATCAGCCAAACCTCTGTTACTGAGAAGTGAAACACATGGTTTGGAGCTTTCTGCCAGGTTTACACTAAACAAGGCAGCTACAGAAACCCTGTTATCTTCCAGAGCTCAAAACCTCAAGCAGATTCAGCTCATACTGCCTAAAGGGTTAAAACCTTAAGGGCAAGCCAGAGAATGAAGTAAGACTAGAGTAAATACCAAACTGATTACATTCTTTGCCTTAGGTGACTCAGTACAATAAGCACTCAAGAGGACTGCATCAAAGAAACTTTGGGGAAAAAGTTTGAAAAAAATCCTTCCCTTCATCTAATTAGGAACACCTATACATAAGAGATTAGGAAAAGATCAGGGAAGAAGCTGTCTACAAGTTAAAAGGCCAAAATGATTCTCTGAATCTTCTGATATTTTGCAAATGCTTTATAGAAATATTGCATAAGTGAATTTACACTTGGCACTAAAACAAACCACATAGTGGGAAGACTATTTTACAATACCAAAAAAATCCCCGTAATACAAAATTTGCTACATTTATATCCCCTGATAACCTCTTGGATGCATTTTTTGTGTGATCCAACTGCAACACAGGAAGGTTGTAAAATGACCATGTTACCTTTATTGATGGCTTCTGGCTACAAAAGTCACTTGAAAAGGGAACAGCACCTTAAGTCCTATTATTTAGGGGAAAAACAGAAAAGTAGCATGCAAGTTGCATAACACATTTTCCCCTTTCTGCATTCACTTCTTACTTCTGCATTGCTTCCTAGAATCTTGTAACTACTTCTTTATGGAGAAAGCATGTACTTAACATCCTTGCATTTCTCATATGCTGTCAGCCACAAGAGGAAAGTACCACAAGACACCAGTAGACAGTGATGTGCTTGTAAACACTGAGCCATAGTCTGCTCCAAGAAGGAATGCTGTAGAAAAAGCCCTACACAAATATTCTGTTCTGCTAAAGGCATCAAGTCTATTTCATTAAAACATTTTAAAATCAGACTTAGAATTATTTTAGATAGCATTTGGTTTATAAGTTGATTATACAGGTTGAGGGTACTGCTAGTTTATATCTTTAAAATGTCTTCCAACCACATTTTCAATAATGGTTTATCTTGTGCAACGTATGATGGTAAAATAAGGCAATACCAGTAACACCTTTTACGGGAAGGAGAAAGTAGGTTAAAGAAGAAACATGCACTAGGTAGAACTGGCCCACATCTGAATGATGCAGAAAACAGATCTCACAGGAAGTAAGGTAAACCTTAGTGTGATATCTGACAAGTTTAAATACATTCTGCTGCCTATACATATTCAGCTCTCATTGTGACATAAGGGTTTGTATTTCTTCTGATGATGTCTAAAACCAGAAATACAGGGAAAAAATACGGAATGATGTGGAGAACTTGTTCAATGGAGCCTGGGCAATCACTACTGCCCACTGATGTTCAGCAGATCTCCATAAGTAGGTTATTGCCAATTCATAAGATATCACCAGTTACAACTGCTGGTCATTTTTCCATAAATTGATTTACAATAAACAGTATCACTTGCTCCTCTTGTGAGAACTACCACTGCCCTTTGCCCTAAATAATTCAGGGTATTTTGCATTTATACACAGCAACTGTGATGCTTCTCAGCTTTTGTTTTTGTGAAGTGTTCTTTACTCAGTGTTTCAGCAAGAGGACTCTGCATCTAGAAAACTCAGTCCTTACTCTGTACCTCATTCCACTTTAATTTATCTTATTAGAAAGATGAATATAGATATGAGGTTCTACTTACTTCTGCGTTTAGAAACTATGTGCTAGTTAGAAACTGACCGTTACATTTCAACTTAAACATATCACGACATCTCAGTTACAGCAGTTAGGTACAGAGTGAGGGTTTAGAAATAGCTGCAGTTCACCACAATACACAGATATCCCCACAACAACAAGCTTAGGACAGTATCAGAACAGTTATCATGACAAATCAGAACACACAGGAAGTAATAAATGATAAATTTGGGTCTGATTTAAGAAAAAAAATTCTACATTCAGACTAAAAGTAAAGTAAAAAATTTGCTCATCACTTTAACAATTCTAAACTAACTTCTGAAGTAGCTTCCAGTATTCAATAGAAGTTTGCTATTTCTTTGCAACAGAAAATAGCACAGCAATAACCCTGCAAGGATCCTGATATATCTTCACTTGTACAGCTGATCTGAGCCTCCCTGCACTGAGCTGTGTTTCAGCAGGGAAGCTCAAGCAAAGCCTGCAGCAGCTCCCAGACAACCCTGCAGAACAGCTCCCTCCGTGGCTCCCCTCCCTGGAAGCTGAGCAGGGAGCTCTTCTGCTGGACACTGCACCCGACTCCTTCTGCACATAACCAACCTCCACCAGTGGGCTTCTGACAGTCTAGGCTTTCCCCTCCATGGTCTCACTGAACAATATGGTTGAAGTTACTAAAAATTAAGGTTTCTCCCATGGAAGTTTTTCCCTTTACCCACTGCTCTGCACTCCCTGAAAGACAGCTCCACCTCTGGCAGTTTCTCTATTGCAGAAGGCCAATACCCCTCCTATTTAGTACCTGTTCAGCTACAACAGAACCCCAGGTTTACACGTTAAGAGGACACATCCTTTAAAGCCAGAAAGGAGCAGCAGCCTAAGTAGTATTACAAAATTAAGAGATGAACAGTCTATAGGAAATCCCTAATATTCCTAACATAAGTGCAAGTACACAAACACATGCTATAGTATTTTGTAACTCTGTACAGTAACCATGACAGGAAAAGAAAATCTCACTTTTGTAACAACTGGTACTCCACCCTCTTGCCACAAATTTCCTAGCAACAAAGCTTCTTCTGCACAAGTAACACACAACATTCAGTATGCCGTTAGCAGAACGTCAGACATTTCCTAACGTAAGTAAGAGATTGCTTTATCTTAAAGCAATCAGTCAACTCTACCATTCTACCATAGTTTTTTCTAAAAAAGGTTAGATTCTAAATATCAAGGTCAACAGAACAAAACACCAGAACACAAAAGCTACTGGCTAAGATCAAATGCCCAGCGGGAAGAAATCTGGAACATCTGATGTATCTTGGAGGAGTTGAAACTCCCAGAGCTATAGCCACTGCTGGGAAAGAAGATGCATGAGAACCAATCTATTATTTGTTATGAAGTAAACATTCAGTCAGCCATTAGGGGACATGCTCAATTTTTAGACAGAACTACAGTCAGAGGCCTGTTACAGTAAGGTCATGCCCCCCTACTTGTTACCATCCCCAAAATAGGCCTTTAAAAGGTAACAAGCAAGCATTACACAAACTGTGAAAGCCACAACAAAAGAGAAAATATTAAAAACATGACACCTAGAAAACCAGTAACAAAAGCATCAGCATCTAGCAACAGCTACCCATGGTTAAATGTGAAGGTAGACAGCCAGGGACAAAGTAACACTCTCCCCTCTCTCTGTGGCTGGTCTCTCTTCTCACATGCTCACCGATGCACAACTTTCAGAGATGACCAGTTTTACTGCTAAAACACTGGGAATATTCAGATGAAAATGTTAAGCCTGGTATAAGTCTCTTTTCTACTACAAGCTGCACAAGGAAATTTCACAGGAAAGTTGTGCTGAATCATTTTTACTTCACTACCAAAGGGCAGATAAAAACTGAACACAAAAGACTGGATTACAGAAGTGCCCCATCAAAATGATGGTCCAACAACAAAGTCTGCTGCTGCTGTCATCTCCTAAACATAAACGCCTTGGCGTACCAGGTTCCAGACACCTGCTTTTATTTTTCAAAAATCTTCCTTGCCTTAAAAAAAATAAATTACAAACAGTTGGCCACTTACTGAGTTTTTCTGTATATCTTGCTCAATCTTAGAAGAAAACACTGAGAGGTCCCCGTTGAGTATAACCTCAGCCAAAGAGTTCACCAAAGGAGCATAATGTATAATCAGAAAAACCTATTGGAAGAAGAGAAGAAAAAAACCCATCAGACATATTTATAGAATACACAGTTTCACAATTTCACTAGCTGAACATACTTTTGACCTTGTTAAGTGCTATCTTTGTTTTACACATAAGTACAAATCGTAACAGAGAGCTCATACAATCGACTTTAAAACAAAGGAGACAAGGGTATCTGACCTTTCTCTACCTTTGAAGCTACCTAATTTTACTAATTCTTCATATTCTTTCCTCCTTCTGAGAAGTGTAAATTCTCTCTCTTCAACACCTTTGAAAGGAAAGTCGTGTGATATTCTAGCAAGGAACTCATTAAAACCATTCCAGAAATTTATTTTTTTTTTAGAAACAACAAACTGATTATGGTGCACAGCATCCCCAGACATTCCTTTGTGCCAGCAAGTGGCCAGACTCCAGAAAGTTCTGTGCACACAACCACTGCGCAGTGATTCATGACTAAAGGCCGTGCACTAGGCTGAGCTGGATCAGAAGCAGCTTTCCTGGCACTTAAATTGCAGCAAATCAGTGTGAGCTACACAATGGCTACAGAACACAGGAGTAAGGACCATAGTGCCTGGAGCACTGAAGCATTTGACCACGAGCGCTTTGGTGCTTTACCAGAATTCTATGTTTACACTGACTACTATATTTTGAGCCCAGGCTTACAAGTCTGGGCCAGCAAACAGCTGGCTCCCAGACAGAACCAGCTCAGGTCCAGCTGCAATAGCCTTCTGTCAGCTTATATCCATTCCCTTCAGAAGAGTATGAAGGCTAGATCACTTATCAGTGGTTCTAGCTGTAAAATTCCCAAATAATTCCTAAGTCATTAAACCTAATCACAGCTTTGAAAATATTTAGCTAAATGTTCTCCACAGGTTTTCTGATTAAAGTCAAATTCATATTGTGAGAAGCATTCCAGACCTCCAAAAGAGAAGTGATTATTAGCATGTAGTGATGATCTACATTAAAGTTTAAAGTCACAACACACTTCAAAAGTGCTTTGAACAACCTCCAAACCACTCCAGCTTCTGCCAATTCAGCAAGTGTTGCTTGACTGTCCACAGGCCTGTTCTGGTGCAAGAACAGCACATGTTCCCTTTGTCAGAGTGGCTGAGAAATCCCAGCAGTGCATTTTCAGGTGCTGGCATGAGTCTCTCAAGCACTTGTGTCTAATATAAGAGTTGTGCCTGGAGCATATGCCTGGTGTCAGGAATAGAAACAATCAGCAAGGTTTGGCAGATCCCACCCCACCACAGACAAACTCCAGGTTAAAAGAGGTGGGAGAAGATGTTCTTCTGCCAGTCACAGAAACAGTCGCTTCATTTTCTATACCACATCCTGTTCTGATACACAAAATATGTTCTCAGCTCTTTATGACTACTTCCATTTTCTTCCTTAAAGAGAATGAAGAACATAGATACAAATCCTGAAGTGATGCCTTGTCACTGAAAGCAAAGACTTTAAAAGAGGTCACCTTACACAACTGTATGATGCAGGCCCTTTTGGTTACAAGAAGCTGCTGCTCCCACAGTTTTATCTGTGGTAAATAACCATCACACCACCACAATATTTTAGGTTTAAATTAAGGAGCATCAAATTATATTCTTCTACCAAAAAAACCTCAACCCCACACTTCCAGCAAAAAAGATGAAATTATGGGCCAGATCACAATGAGTATTGAAAAATTCTAAGATCAAAGAAAAAGAAGTATAAATTCTATGAACACATGTCAAAACTCTTTTCAGACAATGTAATTTAAAAAAATCAGTCTCACAGAAATGCACTGAAGACTACAGGGAGAACAGATTAATTTTCTCTACAATACAATAAAATCTACTGTAAAACTCTTAATTAAAAAATAAGTTCCAGACGGAAAAGCAGGTGGAACTGATATAAGCATGACATAAGTACTTAATTACACATTTAAGCTATAGGCATAATGAAATTCATATTGTGAGAAAGTGAGATTTTGGTAGTGGTGGTTTTTGGGGTTTGGGTTTTCAAAGAGGAAAATTCAAACCTGAGAATTTCCATACCTTAAGCAGATTCAAAATGCAATATAGCATCTAGGTAAATTTCATCTGCCATTGTATCAAGTTCTGACCCAGCATGTCGCATGTCTATTACCATTTATTTATCAGGGGGTGTATGCAATTTGAAATGCTCTAAAGGTTACCCTGTGCAATGGGATCCACAGAAAAATAACATTAACTCAAATAAGAAGCTACTTCGTTTGCCAAAAATGTTTTACTTCATTTTTCTTAATGAAAACTGAAGAGCTAGAAATTTGTTTTGATGAATTTTCTTTGATGGTTTTGCCGAAATGATGAAAATACTCTATTTTATAATCACAAGAGTATTGCAAAATTTGTTCTGAAACAGGACAAATACTTAAAATACTTACTTGAGAAAGAAGATAGAGAGAAACCTGGAGACTTATTTTTGGACGCTCTCCACCCTACAGAAAAAAATATGAAAAATGCTTACTTATTGATACAAAGAATTTATGTGGCTTAATGTTTTATTTAAAATGAAACTTGTATTGTTCCACATTCTGCTACAAAGTATTCAGAAAGCATCACGCTCTTTATCTTTAACATTCACTACTTGTAAATTATTTGAAATGGAGACTCTCCGAATAAGCATATCCCTCACTCTTCCTTGGTTAAAAAATTGCAATTAATTACTGTCTCTCATGGTCACTTCAGTAACTTAAACAGGGGAACATCTGAGAAGTACACTCATTTTCACTATGCTACTATTCATTGCAAAGATTCTTCTCACTTAACATTCATTAAAGACTGCTCTGAAAATTAGCTATTCAGATAGCACAAAATATTACCCACAACAGGCAACTGAATGCAGGAACCTGTGCAGGTTTAAAAAAATAGTTTCTATTTCACTAAAAAGCAGTTTGAGTGAAACCACCACTTAACTTAAAGGCTATGCTTTAAAAATAAATTCAGCTACATCATGTTAAAACACAGCTTCTCTACAAACAGAAGAAATTAGCATCAAACCCAAAAATCTGTGTTTTCTACCTGGATAGATTTTTAGAACATGGCAGATTTGCTTTTTCTGCTTTTGCCAAAAAACAAGTTAGCTTATCAGAAAAGGAAATCACACACCTCCCAGTGTCACAGAAATTTAAGCCCTGTTCCAAATTTGCAGTTCTTCTTGGTCTCCACTACTGTGAGCTTTTAACCACCATGTCACCCAAAACAGCATTTCTTTGGTGAATAAAATTTAATCTTCTGTGCTCTTGAATTCCATTTCAGGCTACTTCCTCTACAGTCACCTTATTTAAGCTGTTTCATGTAAACCACACATCATACACCTACTGCCCAAATCATTTTGCACACTGAAAGCAAGCAGCACCTTTGAGGATTACCTGTTTGCAGGTATTAGCTTACCTTGTCTTGATTTACTAATGAATACACATAGAGGGGAAGAAAGAGCCTATTAAGTAGGTGGTCTGTCAGCACATCATTTAAAAATTCACAGTTAATGATAAGGATATCATTAAGGTAATGCAAATGATCAAGATGTTCTGCTACCAGGTCACTCAGTTTGCCCCTATTTCTGTGCCTGAAAAGAGAGCAGAAATAAAAAAATTATATGTGATCAATTGTGCAAGTCTTAAATGCTTAGGGGAAAAAATTAATGTGCATCCCTGCCACAGATCACCTGGCTCAGGTAGACTGCCCAAAGCAGATATTTTAGTGAAGTCAACCAATGCAACTGTTAAACAGTTGCCTGTATTTTCTTTACGATGCACATATCCAATTTTTTTCCCAAGTTTTCACAAGAAGTGTTTTTACAAAGCTTTGCTTCCATTGTCAATCTTTTCACAAGCCAACTACAAAAATGAGAAGATTTTTTTTTCCAAAAATGAAAGAAGAATTAGGTCTTGTATTTAACACCTACCTCTTCACTTTAGGAAAGCAAGAAACACATGGCCACTCTAAGGTGGGGGTGGCAAGACAAACCAAGAACACAACCTGAATCAACAAAGTATTTCTGTAGTTGATAGTGGAATGTTACACTGTCATGTCAGGTCTGACAACTCACCATCAAGTTAATCACTCTAGTTTAAATATTTTTCCTATAATCTTTTCAGAAAGCTCTTCTATGAGATGACACACAGAAAAACAATGCTAGAAAGACAAAGTTTATAGGATTGAGAAGCACAAAATACCTGTTGTGTCTTCTGGATATCTGCTATTTCTAGCAGAATAAAAGAAAGATAAAGAAAAGGCTTGTTGCAAACACTAATTTACTTGTAGGGATATCAGCACAGATCAGGCACACAGCACTGTTACCTTAAAGAATCAACTCAAAAACTTTAAAGAGTGAAAAGTCTGGACTGTCTACATGGGAACATATCTAGAAACTAACTTAACTGGACTACTATAGACAAAATAAGGACACCATTGACATCTGGGAAAAGCATTTGCATTCAATAGGCAGCATTTGTAAAAGCTTACTCTTCATCAGTCTGCACGCAGTTATCCAGTTCTATCACGTGGCTGCCAATAAACCAGACGAGGTTGGAGAAATAAGGAACTGCAGTTTTATCTCGAATGTAATGCAGCATAGGCTGGTTGTCCACTGAAGAGAAATCATTAAAAAGAAAAATCAGTTGCCAATATTTTTATTGCTTTTTCAGAAACACAATAAAATATCTTCTGAATTTGATTACATGCTGGTTTTCCATATGAGTATATACCTGACACGATCTTAGGCATGAAATGGAAATCTATAAAAATGTCACATCAATTCTTATCTGGCTTGAATGAGCCTAATGTTGATATATTTACAGATGTCTGAAAATAAACAAATCTAGTGGAATTCAGAAAGGTTCTTTTAGCACATTATTTATTAAAAAGAAGAGAGAAGCGCAAGAATAAAGCAGTAATGCTGAGAGTCAAGCTAGTTAGACTTACATGACACTGCATTAAGGAACACAGGAATCATCAGTGAAGGAAGGGCAAAAGAAACAGACAACAGTTAACAGGATTAGGAACTGGGATAGTGACATCCTCTAAAAGGGTTTAAAATGCTAAAGCACAAAGCATCTAAACTAAAACATATGGGGTAGCAGTTAGAGCAGAATACATGCAAACAGGTAGTCAGATAATTATTCATCCTGAACATCTGAGCTCTGCCTTTTCAACTCTAATCACTATATCACTACAACATTCAACGAAAATTCTAGAAAAGTAATTTTTTAAAAATAAGAATACTTAGCTGCATAAATATATCACAAATAGGATATGAAGCCTATAATCTGCTCTTTTTTGTGAGCTCATATTCACATCTACAGTTCCTTGAAGTAGAAGGCAAGTACCAAGTACCCATTTCTCATACAAGAAAAAGTGTTGCAGCCAACACTGAAAAGACCCTCTTTGCTATGCAGGCTCTCCAGTCATTTGCAAAGCAAACAGCTCATTGTTTTAAAAAAGAGCTCATATGCTTCTATGAAGACTGTCAAACCTCTTCTTAATTGACAGAAAGTTGTGTAAATTCAACATGTAATTTAACTTAAAATGGACTAAAGAATAAGAGATCCTGCATGAACATATTGCATAATACATATTACTTTATAGCATGCTGATTTCAGAGGTAGAAGTTCAGAATAAACAATTTTTTTACAGAGAACACTGTGAACAGTTTATTAAAAATCTTAAATATCCCAAGAAAAATTTAGGGGGAAGTGACTTTTGGACATTGGGTTTAGAGTAGACATTCTCAAAGTAGTGCTAACTTCAAAGTTAACCAGGTTGCTGAGGTCCCTGCTGAGTTTTGAAGACCTCCAACAACAGAGATGCCTCAGTTTCTCTGGAAAACTCGTTGCATTGCTCAACTACTCTAACAGTGAAGCTTTAGGTTTTTTCCTTATGTCCTACTGGAATGCCCAGCAGAGGAGTTTGAGACTGCAGCCTCCTGGCCTTCACTGAGCACCTCTGGTAATGGTCCAGCTCCTCTCAAGACTGGAGTGACTGCAGCACCTAACAGTTCTACAGTCATTTTAATGCACTTCCAATCCAAAAGGCAGTGATGTTGGTTACTGCTTCATACACTAGAAAGCTCAATTTCATGAGTAAAAGATAATTTATTCTTAAAACACTCTGGTTTTGCAGTTTTTGTTTGTTTACTTTTTAAATACAGTCACATTCTGACCTCTCTTGGAAGGGAAGCTAAAGTTTCTTATGTATGCCTGACACTTTTGGGGTTTTTTTTTCAACCAGTTTCATCGGTGAGAAAATAATACTATTTACAAGTACATACTGCAGGTTTGGGATAGTTGTCACAAAAGTAAAAAATGCATATCTGAAACTTATCAACATGCTAAGCTTTTCAGTCTCACAAAAGAGAAGAAAACCCTCACAAATAAATAAGTGAAAATTACACTACAATGAAACAAGATTTGCACACATACCTTTTTTTAATATATAAAAAGCGTACCTTTGTAGACATTTAAAGTTATAGTCCTAACAGCAATCCTGACCATGCTTTCGGGGTGGTTAAAAAATTTAATAGCTTCAGTGTACAAAGCAAAGTCGTTAGTGTGCTGTAACAAGAGAAAGAAAATATTTATTCATTGAACATGTACAGAATAGGGGTTGGGATTCTGTATAAATTATGTTTTCCCTATATTAACCTGGTATCTTTACCTTCTACTTAAGCAATCAAAATGATTTTACAATGCACATTCAGCTGCCTTTGTAGCTCTGCATTAAAATGAACTGCTTTAAGCAGCAGAGCTTCCCAGGATAACTGCACACATAGCCAGTGCTTTCATGCCCTCTTCTGGCAGAAAGCAGAGTGCAGAGGAAAAACCCAATTCAACTTTGCCCTTTGACTCAGCTTTTTGGACTTTGACTAAACCTTTTAGAACCAAGTGATGCAATAGAAAAGATCCTGTTTATGAAGGCACAAGAAAACAAAGCATAAACAAGCTGAATTCTCAAGGAAGCAGACTTTAAAACTACTGAAATGATTCAATATAACACTAACTTCCAGATTTTTAGTTCAATATAGCTGTAAAAGGACAAAGCCATGCTTGTGCAGAGATCCTCACAAACAAATTCACAATCACTGGTATGGCCATTATAAAAATAAAAGCAAGACATTATGAGACAAGAGACTAAACAGAGTATGTGCCACACTCTTCTCAATCTCTAATTCAAGTCCTCTTATCATTATATTGCAACTTGCTTTACTTACCTCATTATAAAAGAAATGTACAGTATGATTATTGAGTTTCAGGGAAAGAGTTTTCAAAAATGATATGTAATATGCCATTATCTCCTCATCAGAAAAGTCAAATTTGTGGACAATAATAGAATTCACATGGTTATTAGAGAGCAGGTAGTCTGAAAAAAAAAAATTATTTACACAGGTTAACAAAAAAATTTGCTGTGGTAACAGGCTGTATTTAAAGTGACAGCTAGAAAGCAACAATCTGATGCTTGAAGATCACAGTTTTGAGCCAAACAGCTCAAATGATGCCTTTGAGCATTAATATAAAGGATCTACTCCCTACAAAGGTCTTTGCTCCCAAGAACAAGACAACAGAGAATATACGTTATCTTCCTCAATACAGGTAAGCTCTGCAGCTAATCACACTTAACTCTCCAAGGCTTGATGATGACTTTCATAACAGTTGTGGAATACTTCAAATTATTAATTCTCCATACTCTATGTATTTTGCAAAAAACCTCGAAGGAACCTCCTGTGGTTGACTGCCAGCACCAATGATGTCAGAACAGTTACAGTACAAATTACACACCAGTTTCACCACATGACCTGTGGCAGCAAGTGAACATTTCAGATCACAACTAATTTGACTTAAGGAATCCCTTGAAACGTGCTAAATGCTTGTTGTACCAAAAAACTACTTTTGCACCACTGAAAACTTACATTCAAAGGTATTGTTAAGTCAGTTTACACCATATTTTGGTAGTGTTCAATTTAAAAGACTGTTAGTAATTCATATAGTTCTGTGCAGGGGTACTAGGACTAAATTTCATTGAATGAAAGGGAATCCAATCAAATCTAGATCACTCCATCCTAAGCAGTTCGGAAGTGTGTCCTTACACAGGGATGTTTCATGGCTGATGTTCTCAAAAAGGATGTTCAGAGTCTGCAGCAGCTGCACACACACATAACGACCTGACTTCTGCCGCAGGATGTTCAGGAAGAACTCAAACATATTCTTCTCCAAGAAAAAGCTGAAATAAAATAAAGATGTCATTAAGTCACATGCTGTAAGTAACAGGAATATAATTTGGCTAGGAGCAGGGATGATTCAAGGCAACTTTGATAAACAGCATGTTTTGCTTTTATAAAGAATTACATTTTAAAGTTGCATCTGTATAACAAAATAATATCTTTGAAAAAACCTTAAATGCTAAACAAGAGGGCTTAAAAATTCAAACCATGCAGGAAAAAAGGTATCAAGTAATCAGGGCCTTCTTACTGTATTTTTAGTATATTCAGTTTATCAGGCAGCTCTAAATACCACAGCTAGAACTTGTGGTATCTTAGGTAAATTGAAGCAATGTGATATTAATAGATGTACTGAGTAAATCTGGACCCTAAAATAGGTTAGAGTTCGTATTTATATCAAAAGAATGGAGAGTCAAACAAAAGCAGTACATGGAAGGGGCTCTGGAATCCAAACACTTTTTAGAAGCAGCAAATTCCTGTATGACACGAATATGAACCTGCTCACACATCTACTACAGGACACAGCTTTTTACATATAGTCATGAAACACATCTTGGAGGAGTTAACAGTAACAGTGTACAGAACTCTGTACAACTCCAAGCATTCTTCAAACACAAAAGCAGAGTCTCAGAGAGAACTGGCTCAGGAGTACTCACTCAAACACTGAGCTGTCATTCTGATCCCCCCAGATCAGGATCTCCGTTATGGAACGAATGGTCTCCACCAGCAGGTTGCGGTTGTGATCTGTTACAATCGTATTTTTACTCAAAATATGATACATGTACCTAAAAGAGAAAAGAAGTACAAGTAATGTGCTATCCTGCCACTTTCACATGCACCAGATTTGTCTTTCATAACTGTACCAATGCAGACATACATATATGCACACACTAAGTCTAACAGTTGTACAATTTTAAAACCCTGAAATTTCCTTCTAATACTGATGAAGAGAGAAAAATATGTGTTAAACAGAGTGACAAAGGAAACAAATATCCCCCAGCCAGGTGAGTTATGAGTGCTTATGAATATGTTAACAGAGAACTAGAAACTGTGCAACTGGTCCCAAGGTGCCTCTTCTGAGAATTTCTTCGGAACATGTTGAAGTCAAAGGAGTGATGAGCAAGAGAAATAGAAGAAGCAGATAGGCAGGTAGTAGCTGATATGGAAAAGTGACAATGAGGTCTAACCCTTCTCTTGAGTGGCACATGAGTTCAATCCCCTCTCTTGCCTGCAGAGCCCCCTCACAGACTCACATCAATTTTGATGTTTAATATCAGGACTTAAAGACTATTCATTCACCTCGGAAAAGCTTCGTCAGGTTTCTGGTCCTTTGAGCACTCCCAGAAATCAGTATTTCCCAGGAACACTGATTGGAAAGGGGGTAAAATCCAGCTTTATCATTTCAAAGGGCAAGAGTTTAAGACTGTCTAGTGAAGCTTAAAAAAGGGTATGTCTATATCACAGGTGAGAGGAAGCTATAGAGAATGCAAGCCCTTCAGGTTTTGAGTCTCAGAATGTTACTCTTCAAGGAAGCACTTTTTTTTCCCCAAGTAAGTTGTTACATCAAAGTACCAACTTACTTCTGTCTTGTTATTATGTCCCACAAAAAAAAAAAAAAATGGGGTGGGAGTAAATTCTAATAAAAGCACAAAAACCTTCTTATGTCCCACAAAAAAAAAAAAAAAAAAATGGGGTGGGAGTAAATTCTAATAAAAGCACAAAAACCACCACTGCTTTTCTCCCTTTTTTTTTTCTTTTATATAGTGATTTTAAAAAAAGGGTAAATATAAGAAAGGTGCACAGTTTTGAAAATAAATAAAAAAGTGAGGGAAATTTCATGTCATTTCAGAACTGCACAAGTTTAGATTCCTAAACACAGCTCCTACATTATTAAGCTATGATTGTACTGAAAATCAGGAATAACACCTCAGCATTTCTGTGCAAATACTCAGAAGTGTTTGGAAAGGATGACAGATTTCCCATATTATTAATCTTGTCATGAATAGTGGAGTTAATCAAACTTCCAGGATCTAATTCTGTGAAAATAGCCTGTGTCCTGACCCTGGGGCAGCCTTCATTATTGTTTTGGATTCCATGAGAGTTTGTTCAGTGATTCAGACTAAAATTCTAGAAATCTCATTAGTAGAATTTTGCGAAGCTTCAGTAAGGTAGCAAAAAACACAGTGCATTTCTAAAAAAAATTTTTGGGGTGTCCGGTTTATGGCTTAAAGTAAGATGTTTAGGTCAAAAAACAGACTTCCCAAAAAACAGGATTCCCATCAATTTTATCAACACTAAAAAACTGAATCACTGCCCTGGGCAAGCATGCAGCCAGAGGCTAAAATGCCATTTAACTGAATACTCTTGTGAGGCTGTTCCAAATATTTATCAGACTTACAAAGACAAGACAAGATATCACCTAGTTTCAGAACCTTTTGCTTGAACTCAAAATACCTCTCACAAACACACAAGAACTTCGATCATATCTACAATTTATTCAAAATCTGTCAAATTCAGTTTTGGGAGCATTCTTCAACTGCTGAGCTGCCACTGAGTTGGGCAGTGTTTCCCAGGACTTGCAGCAAGAAACAGTCTGTCCTCACAAGCCATGCAGGGAACAGGTGCTATTTCAGAGAAGTTGATGGCAAAACACTGTGTGCTTACTGTTCTTGATGTTACTTAACCATCAAACAACAATTCTGCTGTGTTGAATACTGCACAAGGACACAAGAGGTAAACAGCCCTCAGAAGTCCACAGCCTTCACAAACTTGAAACAACATGCTCCCTTCCCTCACGCCTCTAATCAGCAATGTGACAAAGCCTGCAGCACATTGCTGAAGCCATTATCATATTATATGTATCACCAGGCAGCAAAAAGGAGGAAAAAGGGAATAGGTGGTTGGGGGTGGGGGGGGCGAGAGATGGAGGGGGATTGTCTTTTCTTAATCTTTCTCTTCAGTAAAAAAATACTCTCCCTCTTCATGGTGTTTCCTCCTCTCCCTCCTAAATCAACATTCATTTTCAAATCCAAAACAGTCACTGATCACATTGAAACCACTCTAGGAAAAGTTGATTCTCAGCTGTGTCCTGCAGTCATAACTGCCTGGTCACGTGCTGTACCATAACAGCCATTAAATAGCAAGGCAGAGAGCACCTGGAAATCCTCTTCCACTAATCCGAGGATCACCGTTCAAGATTCCTTCTGTGGAGATTGACAGTGGGATGGATCACAGTGAAGACGTGAGAGCTTAAGGCTGACCACCTATGAGAATTCCTGGAGTTTCTAAAACAGCACACGAAAAAACTTCCCATTAGGGCACTTTGTGTCCTGATCATCAGGACAGTGAATCAAAAGACAGAGCACAAAGTCAGTCCCTGCTCTGAGGATGCAGCAGTTAATGGAGCAGAGAACATCTGAAGAGATGGCAATTAGATCAGTTCATTCCACAATAATTTTACAACTTCCTGAAACAGTTAGTAATTAATACCGTATTACTTCACATATTTTAGACTATTAATTTGAAGTCACAGAGAAATTATTGCATCTGTGAACATGTATTTCTCATTAATAAGTTACATTATACAAACTTGGGATTAAAGTTTACTCCAGCAGTAGAATTTTGGGTATGGGATGCAGTGGGAAGAATAACAAGCTATTATTTCATTTTGGGAGCCTATGGAACATAAGCATTACAAACATGTAAAGCAAGAAGCATTTAACAATCAGGAACACGTTATCTCCAAATTTATTTACTTAGTAGCAGCGTTACTGAAAAATTCCTTAATCTGCTAAGGCACTGATGCACTTAGAGGAAACCTGAGCTTCAGCTTCAAGCTATTCCTTTTTATTTCATTTTTTAAAATCCTATTTGCTTGAAAATGCACAAGGAAGCATGCACACACTTGCTTTTCTTTACAGACACATGAAATACCATATTATGAGAACATGATATATCACACAAACCCAATATTTTTGTATTTAGATAAATCCTTAAGGGCTGAGTCTCAATGCCGATTACAGAGGGATCATGTTTGTGCTTCAAAACACAAAACTATCAAAGAGGAGACTTTTGTCATCTCTATATCTGAAGACTGGGTTAAACAAAAACACATCATACAGGAAGTGCCAAAGCACTCAATACCGTCAGAATCAGTGGGAGATGTTGCCAGCAACTTTACAAACCAAACAAAATTCTGAACATTTTTCTGGTTAGAACCCATGCTCAAAGGGGTAACATAGTAACTCATGAATATTTTAAGTGCATCTTAATGACTTTCCTACTTATTACTAACAAAAATACACTAAAACAGGTAAGAGTTTAAGAAGTCAAGCACTCAAATTTTAAAAGCCCAGACCTGACCGTAACAGGCTTGCTCCTTCACACTGCCTGTAATCAGGTAATCGCATATTGTTCTCACAGAGGAAACCTGCTGCATAGCAGGGACAGCGCCTCAGGAAATGAATCACCCATGAAAAAAGCCTTCAAACACACCTTTAAGGACACTGCATGTGACCAAGGCATGGGAAATGTTCAGCACCCAATTTCAATGGCATGCAAACTTTTATGCAATCACAATGCAATTCAAATACCAAGCGCAGAAGCAACCATGGGAAATGTGCTTGACAGTAACAACAGGGCTGTGTAAAATACCATAGAAAAGTAGGGGGAAAAGTCTGACTTGGAAACAAAGACACACAAAAAGAACAAGTTCTCTGAGAAGTACCCAGGCAGTGAGTAGCACTGTGTCATCCTTCTCCAGACCACATTTCAGAAGTGGACTAAATTTTAACTGTTTTCACTAGATCAAGAGACTGTATAAAAACACCTAATACAAAGTCTCACAATTTTCCTTCAGCTAATCCATTATCTGGCGTGTTTGCAGGAAGACTGAATATCAAAATTTCAAAAGCAAACCTCTAACAAACTACACTAAAGCTGATGAGAAAGAGCCAGCATTTACTGACAAAAAGCAGTAATGCTCCAAGTATCACTAAGCATGTGGATTGTTTACAATTTAGACTAAACTCTACCTTGTGCAAGTTTAAAAATAAAAATGTTTCCACAAGGCTAACCCAGACTGATTTCACCCCTGTAACAGAGCATAATATGCCTTTTACAGCCTGAGCTAACCTATAATGGCAGGGCAGGTGTCTTGAACTCAGCTCCTTCATATGGAACACAAAATGGGGCTTTGATGAGTTGAAAAGATGAGAAAGTAAACAGCTTATCAAGTGAGCTTACTGAGACTTTCTTGCATGACCCCAAAACAAAGGCTCTCTGCCCTTTTTCCTTCTGTTACTTTACCCACTTCAACACTTGGAAAATATCTAAATTTCACCTTTCCTGTTGGAATCTAGCTAGAATCTGAAATTCACACAGCCTGGATAAACAAACACTTAAAATATACATAGTATAAACAGATCAAAGGTCTCATCTGTCCTTTACATACGACCATTTCAGATTCATAATTACAGAAATCACATGAAAAAATGCAAACAGACCAAAGCTCATACTTCAGTAGATATATATATATTTCAACTCTCTGATAACAGCCCAATTCCCCATTGCTACAAATGAGGTAGGGTGTCATTTTTCTATTCTCTGTCAAAAAAGCAAACAGACCAAAGCTCGTACTTTAGATATATATATATTTCAACTCTCTGATAACAGCCCAATTCCCCATTGCTACAAATGAGGTAGGGTGTCATTTTTCTATTCTCTGTGGCCCCAACAGATCATATGGACACATTTTTCTGAAATGTGAAAGTAAGTCTCAAGTCTCGCTCTTTTTTCCCCCCTAACCTTAAATTCAGTTTTTTCAAATTTCATCACACACCAGCATTCTTGCTCTATCTTCAAGTCAAATATCAAAGCCAGACAGAGCTAAAGCTCCACTCATGCTGAATAGTACACAATAACTACTCCTTGTATGTTCAACAGAACATTCCTGTGTTTTCATTTGAGCATGACTTTCCCCCTTTTTCCTGTAAAACCAGATTACATTGGCTTGCTAGTCTGACCTGCAATGCTTTCAAAATTATTTCTGCAGTGCTACTGCCTCATTAGTTTTGTATTCATGGGCTTGAGTTCTGTGTCTTCGGTAAAAAGCATTGCATTTCAGAAAGTAGTGCTCATTTTGAACATTTTTCCCGTTTAGAGACAAGGACCAGAATCCATAAATCATCTTGATAAAGCAACCGCAAGATCCAAATCTTGCACAGGGCATCCTGCTCGTTACTGTCAGAACCCATTCATGTCCTCCTTGTAAGATGACTGAAAACTACTAGGCACTTTTTCTCAATGAGATACATAGTCACAGTGATTTCATTTAGAAATCACTTTGTCTCTTAATGACCTCCTTTTCTCGTTCAGTATAAAGAGAAGCTATCAAGGTGGTTCTCATTTTTCTTGCAATAGCGGAACACTTAAAATGGAACAGGGAAATCAAATCTTTTATCCCTTGCCACCCTTCCAACTCTCCAGTGGCAGAGCTAGGGAAAAACTATTCCACCTTGCGCAGCCAGCAGTAACACACGGCTGCGGGGCTCCAAACACATTCCAGCTCTCAAGCTCAAAGCTTTCCTTCTGCAGCAGCGGCTGCGTCCTGCAGCGCAGGGCACATCCCGGCCGTGACTCCCTGCGGCCCATCGCCATCCCCGCACGCCCCGCAGCTGCGCTGCCCGCACTCCGGCACAGCCCCTCGCTCCCCGCCTCAGCCGCCGCCAGGAAACAAACAAAGCTCTCCCTCACGAGGAATGTGGTATTTCTTGTATTTATCACGCCTCGCACTCTACTCCACCGAAGACTCTGGGGCATTACTAAAAACAAAACAAACACGTATGGCAGCCCGGAGTGTGACATTACATGACGAACTACGTCCGCCCTTCTGGGACGGAGAAGCTGGTTACCGTGAGGCAGACACCAGACCACAGAGCCTCCGCCACCGGGACTGCTCCGGGCGCTTTTCGCTCGGAAGAGCTGCGGCAAAACGCCACGGCGAGGGCAGCGAGCGCCTGGGGAGCGTCCTCCGCCGAGCCGCCCTCTCCTCTGCCGGCCCCGCAGCCGGCTCCGAGGGAACCCTGCCCCGAAACCCGCCCCGAGCAGCTCTGCGGACGGAGCCCGGCCGCAACCGCTCCCTCCGAGCCCCCTCACAGCCCCGCCACCCTCCGCCCTCACCGCCGCCCCGAGCCCGCGGCCGCCCCCCGCTCACTTGAGGTGGTCCAAGGAGTGGATGCTGCGGGCGGCCTTCCCGTGCCCGCCGCCCACCCAGCTGCGGGAGCGGCCGAACATGCTGGCGGCAGAAGGCTGCTGCGGCCCGCGGGCCCTACGGCCTCATAGCCCCGGGGGGCGAGCGGGCGACCGGCGGGCGGGGACCGGCCCGGAGCCTCGGCGGCGGAACCGGCGCGCACAGCGCATGCGCGGCCAGGGCACGCCGGAAAGCGCCGGCCCGGCTCCGCCCCCGGCCCGCGGACTGCGAGTCCCAGGGAGCACCGCGGGGGGCGGGGTCAAGCCCTCACACGGGGGGCGGGGCCTGCGCCGGGTGCGCTCTGGGGGCGGCTCGCTTAGAACAACATACGGGACTAAACGGAAGCCGAACCAGAAAAAACAAATCACGTTAAATGTGTGAGTCCTAAATGTGTTGTCATTTGAGGTAGAATTTGGCCCCTGACATTCCTTGTTCGGTTTCCGTAACCCAAAAGAAGCTGTTCTGTCTGGTCAGCTCCTGTGCTGCAGGCGTCAGAAATTCAGCTGCAGGCATTCCCCTTGCTGACGTTGTTCTAGTAAGATTTTGAATCGGCTTAAAAATTAAGGAAGAACAAAAAGAAGAGGACCCTTGATTGTGTTGATCTAGTTTTGGATTTTTTTTTTTTTTTTTTGCTTTAGCCAGAGAAATAAATCTATGTAAAAGCTGAAGAGTTTGTCAGGCAGTATCAAAAATGCACCGAGTTTAAAATCCCGCCTTCGGTTATATCTTGGTGTAGGTAAAGCCTTGGTCAGCAAAGAAACACCTGCACGGCAGGCGAGAGGGGCCCGGGCCCGCAGTGCTGCTGCAGGAGGGCCTCGGTCACGGCAGAGGTCGTGAAACAACTCCGGGGGCGAAGGCACAGCCCCGAGCTGCCCGCGCTGCCCCGCTCCGCAGGCTGCGGGCTGCGCCAGAGCTCGGGCAGGCAGGAGCGCGCAGCCGAGGGTCGCGCAGCGCAAGCGGCCCCTGTCCCCTGCAGCCCCCGTGCAGCCGCAGCGGGACCCCAGAGTGGCAACGCGGCGGAGGCGCCGGCGCCCGTCACGACCGCCCCGCGCCAGCGGCAGCGCGGCGCTGGTAAACAACGGCGGCGTGCGGCGGGGCGGGGAGCGAGGGGCGGGCGGGCAGCACGGTCCTGCCGCGCAGGCCGGGCTCGCTGGCAGGTCCTCCGAGTCGGCCTCCCAACGCCTGCGGGCTCCTTCCGCAAAGTTTGCGGACGGCAGGAGGAGGAGGAGGGAGTCGCCGCGGGACTGCAGTAGCCGGGCTGGAGATGCCGCTGAGCAGCCTCCTGCCAGCGGCGGGGCTGCGGCAGCGCCGCTGAACCCGCGCTGGCCGCCCGCCCGCTCGCCGGGGCGCCTCTTCGTCCGGGGACTGAAGGGACCGAGCCGGCCGCTCCGCGCCCCTGCGGGGCTCGCTTCTTCCCGGAGTCCGGATCCGGCTCCTCAGAGATTCTGCCCTTTGCTGCCACCGGGGCTGCGGCGTACAGTCCTGCCCCGCTCCCAGCTCCGCTGCCGTCCGCCCCCCCGCGCCGGCCGGGCGGGTCGGTGCTCGCTGCCCCCGCAGCCCCCACGGCTGCATGACCGCCGCGGTCTCCGCACGTCTGGATTCGGTGGAGTCCTGGGCCTTCCATGCGCTTCTGGTGCTGCCCTATATGTTTTACGTGGGCTTGTTCTTTGTCAATGTGCTGATCCTGTACTATGCCTTCCTGATGGAGTACATCGTCCTCAATGTGGGAATCGTTTTCCTGCCCGAGGATATGGACCAGGCTCTGGTGGATCTGGGGATGCTTTCCGACCCTGGCTCCGTGCTCTACGAAACGGACAGCGAGCTGGATGTCTTTGACGGCTACTTGGAGTGACGCCCCAGGGCGCTCCAAAGCGACTGAGCTCCGCCGCCGCCCGGCCCGGGGCAGGGGCCCGGCGTGCCCGCATGGCCGCAGCTCGGGGACCGCCGCGGCCCCGGAGTGCGACCCCGTCGCGGCTCCTGCGCAACATCTTCCCTTCCAAATGACACCCGCCCCGCCGGTGCAGGGCCCAGAGGGCCAGCCGGGACCCGCTGCCGCCGGGCAGGCCCGCGGCGGCGCAGAGGGCTCGCCAGGGAAGTAAGTAATGCCTTACTGTCGGGCCGGGCACAGCGGGCACGGCGCCGGGGCACGCTCCGCCGCAGCTCCCGGCTCGGGCGAGCGCTGGGCAAAGGGCCCGGGCCGCCCCCGGCGCTTCCCCCGCCCGGCAGCACCCGGGCGCCGGCGGGGACAGCGACCCTGTACCCCGGGACTCATCCTCCGGGCTACTGCAGCTGTGCTGCGGGGGGCTGCCTCTACAGCCGGGCAGCAACTTTGCAGATCCGGTCCTGAGAGCAGCCCTGAATCGAAACGAGCATCCCGGTTAACGTTTATTACAATTCAGGGACCTTAATCGAGCCAGAAATCTTAATTTGCTGTCCTTTAAAACCACTCTCTTGGATAATGACAAACTGCCCAGCTCACCGTTTTAATTGTAGCACGAGGGTTTTGCTTGGTCAGTTTTTTTTTTTTGTTGTTGTTTTGTGGTTTTTTTTGGTTTTTTTTTTTTTTTTTGGTAGTTTAAGGGTTTTGCTTGGTCAGTTTGTTTTTTTTTTTTTTTTTTTTTTTTGGTAGTTTCCAGTGATTCTGAAACTCTGGAAATATAAGGATTTAGCATTTTAAAACACTGAAATGCATTTGGGAAGAAAAATCACTATTTCTAGCTAGGACTTTCTGTGCCAAATGTATGTTAATGAAAACATTCACAGTTTAAATTAAAATGTGTTAGCAAATCTGCCAGCAGATTTTTTTAGCAAAATATTGTCTGTAAATCTGAAATCCAGTTCAAGATATCTTTGTTTTTTGTTTGAAGTGATGGAAATAGGGAATTCAGTTATAAGGTTACAAGTATAAACTCAGTGACCACACTACACAAATACCAGTTAATATTAAACTATTTTAAGCAGTCTTCCAATTTAACAAACCCAAACAAACCTTTCCTGTAGTTCTGTCCTTCATATATTTTAAAATTATCTTCTTCATGTATTTTAAAATTATCTTCTGAATATTTCTAGTCAGATTTTGTGTAAAGCAATAGCTGATTTTGGTCAGTAATTTAGAAGGAAAAATTGGACATTTTTGGTGTTGGAGTAACATTGATTGCACAAACACATCTGAACAAGGCTTGGCCAAAGGCATGTGGGAGCCTAACGATGGAGTGAACAGATTTTGTTGCTACTGAAGAAATCTCACTGCATATAGTCACTGCAAATGGAAGTGTCTATGCCAACACTTGGTGGTCCATCCCAAGCAACGGGATGAGAATCACTTCTGCTAGAATAGAAAGTGTGGAGCAGAACAATCCTCCCCACAAATCACCATTGACTGCTTTTGTGCTTGTCTCTTTTTTCAGCTGGACCAATAATATACATGCTCTGTATTCCAGGAATGAAATTCCTAAAAATTAATGGTAATTCAAGCAAAATCTTTGGTGCTAAAAACTGTATCCATTTTCTTTCCCAAAATATCTTTCCCTAAACTCCAAATCTTAGTGCTCCAATGCTATTTAGTAGAGGGATTAAAAATAGGTTTTTTAAATCACTTTTTTTTCTGTCTAGAATTTGTCTTGCTGAGTTGTGTCCAGTTTTCAGGAAGACCTAAGGAGAGCATCAGACACAATTTTCCTCAGTGGGAAAAAAAAAAATTCCTACTATACAAATACCATTTGATATGAGCACATTCAGTTCAGTGTAGATTATGGGCTTCTTAAAATTTTCTTTCTTATTAATAAGATAAGCAGCTCTGGAAACTTCTTGATATTCTAACTATAAAACCCTCCATAGGCAGAAATCAAAATGCAGAGGTTTTCTCAAAGCTCAGAAGTAAGGCTCCATTTTTACCCACCAAGAGCTCATGGAGCTCTGCACAGGTACCAGCTCCAGCCTTGATCTTTCATTTGGAAGCTGTCAGGGTAGATGATGGTTTCCACTGAGAATCAAATCACAAATCCCAAAAGTCTGATCAATTCTTAAGCAGCAAAAAATGTATTGTGTTTCATCTATTTATATATTTAATAATACTTACAGACATAGCAACCAGGCCCCAAATAGCATATTTACTTATCTACCAGGCAGAGACACGGCGTTTCCACCATGACAAGGGATTTGGGTTAATGTCCTGTTACAGGTTTCTTCACTGTTCTGTGCCATTCCTCCTCACCAGTTCTGTAGTAGCAAAGCAGGCAGAAGAGGACCCTCATTTGGAGCTGTGTTTTCTGCTTCGGGAGCAGCACTCAGGCCCTGAAAGGGAAGATTTAGATTCTTGTGGTGCCTTGCCTGCTGTGACCTGAGTTTGGTGTGAGTGTTAACCCCTGCCCTCCTGGCCTGGGAAGGTTTCCCACCTGCCCTGTTCCCTTCACCCAGAAGTGCTGAGGATTCACAAGACGCTGCAGGAAGAATGGGTCTGTTTTGGCAGCAGTGATGAAAAATATGTAGGCCTACTCTTTGCATTAAAGAGCAGCATTCTTCATGTGACTCACCAGTGATTTCTGAGAGCAGCCAAAGAGCTGTGATTATCCTGATCTGAAACCTTGCAGCGTCCTCCGTGCCTGGGAGAGCGGTGCCTTGCACCCTGCGTGAGTGACGTGTGACAGGAAAACAGAGGGGGCACATCCCAGGAGGCCCTTCTGCAGTGTGTGGAAAGGCTAATTTAGATGTAAAATTAAAGAACACATGGATCAGAACAGCTCTGTGCTCTCTGGCAGCAAACCCCTCACTTGAATAAATTCAATAGAAGCAAAATGATATTGAAGTTTCTGAGCAAAATTGGTGGCAGAGATTGAAGGCAGACAGATAAGTAAGCAGCTGAAAAATGTTTCCTGGCCTATTCAAATGAAGAAATTAATTTGTGTAAACTGAACAGAATTGAGCTTGTTTGTGTCATCTACTGTTTTCATGTGAGTGTGCCAGGTTATTTACTATGTGTTTGAAGCCCCCTGGAATAAGGTCGTATGACTATTCTCATACTTCCATAAAATCTCATGTGACTCATCAGAAAGTACTCCTATCAGAAAGAAAATGGGCAAAAGTAATCAATAATGAAAACTGACTAAGAAGACTGAATTTATGTAATCTTGCAGTACATGCTTTAC